TAACTATCACGTGGCTTGTCATCATTACACACATAATTATCACGTGGTTGGTCATCATTACACATGCTTATCAAGAGGCTTGTCATCATTACACACATACTTATCACGTGACTGGTCATCATTACACACATACTGATTACGTGGCTGGTCATCATTACACACATACTTCTCACGAGGCTGATCATCATTACACATACTAATCACGTGACTGGTCATCATTACACACATACTTATCACGTTTCTGATCATGATAACACACATACTCATCACGAGGCTTGTCATCATTACACACATACCTATCACGTGGCTGGTCATCATTACACATGCTTATCAAGAGGCTTGTGATCATTACACACATACTTATCACGTGACTTGTCATCATTACACACATAAGGATGACGTGGCTGGTCATCATTACACACATACTCATCACGAGGCTGGTCATCATTACACACATACTTATCACGTGGCTGGTCATCATTACACACATACTTATCACAAGGCTGGTCATCATTACACATGCTTATCAAGACATACTTACACACATAAGGATGACGTGGCTGGTCATCATTACACACATACTCATCACGAGGCTGGTCATCATTACACACATACGTATCACGAGAATTTTCATCATTACACACATACTGATTACGTGGCTGGTCATAATTACACACATTATTATCACGAGACTGGTCATCATTACACACATACTCATCAAGAGGCTGGTCATCATTACACACATACTTATCACGTGGCTGGTCATCATTACACATGCTTATCAAGAGGCTGGTCATCATTACACACATACTTATCACGAGGCTGGTCATCATTACACACATACTGATTACGTGGCTGGTCATCATTACACACATACTAATCACGAGAATTGTCATCATTACACACATACTGATTACGTGGCTGGTCATCATTACACACATACCTCTCACGAGGCTGGTCATCATTACACATACCTATCACGAGACTGGTGATCACAACACACATACTTATCACGTGACTGGTCATCATTACACACATATTTATCACGTGGCTGGTCATCATTACTCACATACTTATTCTGATCATCATCACACACATACTTATCAAAAGGCTGGTCATCATTACACACATACTTATTACATGGCTGGTCATCATTACACACATACTTAATACGAGACTGGTGAACAAAACACATTCTTATCACGTGGCTGGTCATCATTACACAAATACTGTTCACGTGGCTGGTTATCATTACACGCATACTTATACTGATCATCATCACACACATACTTATTACAAGGCTGGTCATCATTACACACATACTTATCACGTGACTGGCCATCATTACAAACATACTTATCAAGTGACTGGTCATCATTACACACATACGTATCGCGAGAATTGTCATCAATACACACATTCTTATCACGAGACTGGTCATCATTATACACATACCTATCACGTGACTGGTCATCATTACACACATAATTATCACGTTGCTGGTCATCCTTAAACATACTAATCACGTGACTGGTCATCATTACACACATACTTATCACGTTTCTGATCATGATAACACACATACTCATCACGAGGCTTGTCATCATTACACACATACCTATCACGAGGCTGGTCATCATTACACATGCTTATCAAGAGGCTTGTGATCATTACACACATACTTATCACGTGACTTGTCATCATTACACACATACTCATCACGAGGCTGGTCATCATTACACACATACTGATTACGTGGCTAGTCAACATTACACACATACTTCTCACGAGACTGGTCATCATTACAGACATACTTATCACGTGGCTGGTCATCATTACACACATCATTATCACTTGGCTGGTCATCATTACACACATACTCATCAAGAGCTTGTCATCATTACACACATACTTATTACGTGACTGGTCATCATTACACACATACTCATCACGAGGCTGGTCATCATTACAGACATACTTATCACGTGGCTGGTCATCATTACACACATCATTATCATTTGGCTGGTCATCATTACACACATACTCATCAAGAGCTTGTCATCATTACACACATACTTATTACGTGACTGGTCATCATTACACACATACTCATCACGAGGCTGGTCATCATTACACACATACGTATCACGAGAATTTTCATCATTACACACATACTGATTACGTGGCTGGTCATAATTACACACATTATTATCACGAGACTGGTCATCATTACACACACACTAATCACGAGGCTGGTCATCATTACACATACTTATCACGAGGCTGGTCATCATTACACGCATACTGATCACATGACTGGTCATCATTACACACATACTTATCACGTGACAGGTCATCATTACACACATACTTATCACGAGAATTGTCATCATTACACACATACTGATTACGTGGCTGGTCATAATTACACACATTATAATCACGAGACTGGTCATCATTACACACACACTAATCACGAGGCTGGTCATCATTACACACATACTTCTCACGAGACTGGTCATCATTACACACATACTCATCAAGAGGCTGGTCATCATTACACACATACTTATCACGTGGCTGGTCATCATTACACATGCTTATCAAGAGGCTGGTCATCATTACACACATACTTATCACGAGGCTGGTCATCATTACACACATACTGATTACGTGGCTGGTCATCATTACACACATACTTATCACGAGTCTGGTCATCATTATACACATACTGATCACATGACTGGTCATCATTACACACATACTTATCACGTGACTGGTCATTATTACACACATACTTATCACGTGGCTGGTCATAATTACACACATACTAAAACGAGACTGGTCATCATTACACACATATTGATCACGAGACTGGTCATCATTACACACACACTAATCACGAGACTGGTCATCGTTACACACATTCTTATCACGTGGCTGGTCATCATTACACATATTTATACTGGTCATCATCACACACATACTGATCACAAGGCTGGTCATCATTACACACATACATATTACATGGCTGGTCATCATTACACACATACCTATTCCAAGGCTGGTCATCATCACACACATACTTATCTCGAGGCTGGTCATAATTACACACATACTTATCACGGGACTGGTGAACATAACACACATTTTTATCACGTGGCTGGTCATCATTACACACATATTAATTACGAGACTGGTCATCATTACACACATACTTATTGGTCCGAGGATTGCTGTATTGATCATCAGTTTCGCCTCGTGAGAAGTATGTGTGTAATGATGACCAGCCATGTAATCAGTATGTGTGTAATGATGACCAGCCGCGTGACAATACACCAGTCTATAGACCAATACGAAAAAAAATGTAATTGAAGATATCTTTATTAATTAATCTCATTTGTATTAATTTCCCGACAATTCCATAGTTGTCGTTCTATTGAAATCTACATTTACGAATTTGATCAATACTCTAATACTAATTCACCAAAATATCTTGAACAAATTTTGCCATCATCCGTCCACATTTTCTTACTGTTGTTTTGTAAAGTCCATTCTGTCTGCCATTGTTGTTGTTACGGCTGTGTATCGAACTCAACTTTAAGTCTAGATAAAACAGAGGTGATTTGAAAGATTTGGCGCCCTCCATTTCGCGGAATTTTGGTATCTGGACCCCGTTTTCAGTATTGGAGGGCTCGGGGTAGTATTGTGTGACAGAGGCTAATTCATTCCATGGTCATTTTCCCCAGTATTACTATAAATATTAACCTAGTTAATAAGAAAATCATATGGTTACGCCAAAACGAATATGACGTCACAATGGAAACGATGGGAGCCTTCAGTCAATCTTTGTTTCGTTAGATGATATTGAATGTGTATAAAAAGGATATCATATTTAATGTGTTTTATAACGCTGATAACAGGGTATTTATATAATGAATGTATTATCTTACATGAGTGACTCAATTTTTGGGTTTTTTATCTACTTTTTTGTGACCATTTGGCAAATTTCATAACTCGTATACAAAATGTAAAAGGAACTCTATATCAGTATATATATGTGTCTTATGTGTATATATATATATATATATATATATATGTTATACTATTTTGGGAAATATTGCAGAAAATGAACTTTTTCACGTCACACTTAATAACCACTTAACTCCAAAAAATATAGTCTCCATAGTGACGTCACAATGTTATCTGTGAATGTGTGATGTCATTTCATTATCTTATCCTGACCTCAGAGTCTTAACTACACGAGATAATAAGTAAAAATCATGATATATTAACTGAATAAAATGACAATAATATGACAAAAAAGTTTATAACGTCCTCCGATAATAGGAATTAAAACAAGCTTCCGTTGTACAGGCCGATTCACATTCTTCAGCGCGTGCTTCACACGCCACAAAGTTTAAAAAACATTATTCTGGTTTTTAAAAGCAGTGGAAAATATAATTTCTAAATTTAATATTTTATTATTTGATATTCCATATTCTACCATATCATCAGTTCTGTAAATATTGCATTACATTTACATGTCAACACTGCCAACACAATGGAGTCTGCTACATTGGAGCACTCGGATCGATACCATACCATGTACACACGAGCAATCAATATTGCCATCTCCCTACTCCATGGAAACAGGAAGAAGGGCTACTGATCCGAGAAGCTACATTATTCAATGAGTTCTGTACGCAACAGTAGCTACAAAGGAAAGCCCACTACGGGCACACATTGGTTCGCAAGGCTATGACGTATATGAGACCACGTGATACCATCCACCATAACTATTCCATAATGAGGCCTTCATTAGAGAAACAGTGGTGATCGCGAGAGAGAGGGTTGGTATTGTGTGTGGTCATATTTGGTAGATTTAAGAGATTTGTAAATACTGTTAGGTATACAAAGAGATTCACATTGACTTAACAGACGCCCGCGGTCAATTAAACACAGAAAACCAGGAATCTATAAAACAGGCTGAGCTTGAGATGCCAAATCTAGGAACATGGTTTGGTAGGATATTTTTGTTTTTGGCCGGCCTGTTAGTGTGTTTGTTCTCTCCGACTTCATGTAGCAAGGAGGACGTGACCACGAACCACTGGCTTGTGGAACTCCACCACGATGTGGGACCGGAAGCTGCCATGGAGGTCGCTAAAAGGACTGGGTTCACCTACGTAGCACCGGTGAGTTTTAAACAGATCTGAGGTGATCCTAGTAAAACGTTGGACTATTTATTAACAAAACCGTATTAACGTTTATTATAGCATTTTACTTCCTATAATGATGGAATATGTTCAAGTTTGTTATTAGCGGCTTTATGATTTCTTTTGATGGGTATTTCAATTTCAAGAAAAGTACAATTACATAGATATCGTTTATCGTTAATGTGAAATCTCAAATAGTAATTTTTTTCTTCAAATTTTCGTTAGGCACCAGTTTCTTTTGATCGGTGTTATTTTCACGGTTTGATCTGAAATATTTTCTGATAACTGTTCCATTTTTCTTTCTTTTTTTTTAAATAAGTACGTGGCTTTGAGTCACTATAAAACTCTACATATTAGTTTTTTTTTCTTCTAGTAAATGCCCAAAATTTTATTTAACATAAATTTCTCTTTAACGTACAAATGAAATTTCTCGGCGATATATTTATATAAACTACACCACCTACAACGGATGTATGAAATACGTTACCGACACTATACAATCATGACACTCCTCAAAATGTTACGTACAGTTCTACACTCCTCATCCTACATTCCCTGAAAACACCATACTATATCATATATACTGATCGATCGATCGGTCAGTACTTCGATTTGCAAGTAGGCGATTACATCGAACTGATTCTATCTGTACTGTATACCAGTAGTAATATTTGGACTTCGGATAAAATCAATATATCATAGAATCTTCTTGGAAAACTGATTGAAAATTAGAAATTTTATCTAGTATGATAATATTTACGATTTCAACTTTGAATCTAAATGTTAATGAATTATTCACAAGCTTAATACCGTAAACACCCGTCGATTTGGTGATTAAATCCTGATTTTAGTTAATTAATTTGCCACGACGACAGGTGCAACTTATTGGTGTCAGCGTACATGGTTTGTATTTACCTGTCTACACGTAGAGAACACCTGTATCCAACAGATTTAGCAGTTTATCACACATCTATCTCCCGTTGATCAAATTAAAACTTTGATTATGATATAGGATGAGAACGTGTAAACCTTATACTCTGTTAGATTATATATATATGTGTGTATATACAGTTAAATTCACTTAATATGAAAACAGATATATTGAAATATTGTTTAACCTGCAATAAACAAATTCCCGTCTTTATCTTGGTATGTTGTTTAATTTGAAATCGGTTCAATTGAAATCCCGCTTTATTCAAAACTTAAATACCGGTCATCTGCAATACTGAATAATTGTATTCACGGACATTCGGGCATTATGACGTCAGTATTTTGGGCGTTTCCCGTCAAAATGACTGTACACCTTAATAATTTACATAAATAATAATTGCTCTATCTTAATCGTAAAACAAGGTATAGTTGGAACAAGAGAACGACACGCGTCGGGAATATAGAAATGTGGCATTTATGACCTTCATAATAGCCATTACAAAGCAGCAGTTCAATGGTTATGTATAACAATAATTGTAATGTCACACCACGGAGACAGTCTTATGTCCGCGTTCTACCTAGGGACGAACCAATTTTCGCCATATTTGCCGTAAATGATCACATTAGATCTAGGTTTTGATCTAGTGACAGTGAAACAAATATATCTAAAGTTGTATCATGAGGTGCTGTTCAGTTTTGTGTATTTTGTACAATCTTGGAAATGTTATGAAAGGCTCAATGATCATAATAAAAGTAACAGACAAAATAGAATCGGAATTTGTGTCTCCATGAGAAGACGAGCGCTAGTGTTAAATATCGACAAAAAGAATTCGGATTTTGTTGACAACAAATAAAACACCTAAATACAGAATGCACCGAAGTCTTATGGATGAGATAATCATAGAAAAGATGAAAAAAACTTTCTTTAAAACCATTTTGATAGTGGTAGGTGTTGAGGAACAGCACGAAGAGAACTGAGACAACGGAAACCTGGAATGAAAAAACCTCGCTATTACCAAGAAAATCAGGAAATATCAACGAAAAGATTTACAAGGAGATCTGAGGAACGGAATATAGAGAACAGCTACACCTGTAATATAGAGGAACGGAATATAGAGAACAGCTACACCTGTAATATAGAGGAACGGAATATAGAGAACAGCTACACCTGTAAAAACACATTGTTTTTATCAGTTTTAACAAAATTCAGTTTTCTTTTCACAAATACTTTCAGAAATAGAATAGTGTTGTGATAAACAGAATCTTATACTGTATTTCTAAGTTTTTCTGAGTTTCTGTTTCAGACGAAATGTATGAAACTAGTCTAATAGACAAAAGACGCGGAAAAATGAGAAATATTTGGACTAGTTTCATAAATCATCTCCTGAAACAAAAACTCCTGTTCGATCTTTTAAATAGATAGATGTTTTACCTACATCCATGAATTAATTAAGTATTTATCAACTTTTTAAAACACATGAAGATTACATACACTAATTAACAGTAATCGGTTAGTTTGGGTATGTTTTACAAAATTTCAGAAGATAAATTTTATCAGTTCTTTTTTTATAGTATTAGGATTTCACATTCGGCTTCAGCGTCAGCAGACTAAATGCACTGGATCTTACAACATCTCAGGCTTCGGAAACCAGACTCCGAACAACTCTGTCACCCTTAAAATGTCAGATATTTGCGTTGTAAACTAAACACGAAGATATCATTCAATCACTACTGTGGATTTTGAGTACTGTTAAAATGCTATGATTCGGGGTTATTGAACTTGAAGTAACGAAATGAGGCGCGTTTTGGAAAGAGCCTTCAAAGAGAAAAATGATGTGAAAGCATCGCACATGAAATGCTTAGATATGTAAACTTTTTTCTGAAAGAGATGATGACCATAAAATAATCAATTAATATTTTCCAAAAGAAAATTAGAGATTACAGATGGTAGATTCTGTTTGTGAAATTAATTTACGAATTTTGCCGTTACCTGCTTGTCGCGTTTTAATCAATTTAAATTAAATAGCCACATGTACTTGGTAATTTTTGAAATCATCCCGTATATTCTAATAATGAAATTCATTGAATTAAGCCCTACCCTTCTAGCAGCTTGACTTCTAAACTTTGACCTTTTTTCGACCAATTGTAATTTTCCTTAGTCGCCAGCTGTGTGATGTAACATCACTGACGAGTCCAAGAAGGACGAAACAGCTGTGTGATGTAACATCACTGACCAGTCCAAGAAGGACGAAACAGCTGTGTGATGTAACATCACTGACGAGTCCTAGAAGGACGAAACAGCTGTGTGATGTAACATCACTGACGACTCCAAGAAGGACGAAAGAGCTGTGTGATGTAACATCACTGACGACTCCAAGAAGGACGAAAGAGCTGTGCGATTCATGCTTGGTGCTATTGTAATTCATTCAAAATTTCAAATAAAATGTGTCTACCATTCGTCTGTCTTTTGTATAACCATCTGAGAGCAAAAAGTACTTAGTTTAGCCGTTTCACGTTTGTTATATTTAGTAAACGGTATTGAAGATAACGTGTATTTTTGTGACAGTATGGAGTCTTAACAAAGATACAATAAAAACGTCTTAGAAAAAAATTTGGATTTCTTTTTTATATTTTTTCACATTCACCAAAAGAGATAAAATCATTTGTCAATCTTAGCTATGTTTCTTCTGAAAATCTATTTTTCTCCTCTTGCCTGCTTTTGAACGTCCCTCATGCAATCCCTGAACTTTCTATAAGGAAACATCATTTGTGTGTTGTTGTTTTAAAGAAAGGTATCCTTATCTAGCCATTTTGAACAATGGAGAGTTTTAGAGGTATTATCTTGATAAAGGAATGATCATTACAGTGGCGTCATGTCTATTTATAGTAACCGTTTCTTTCCCTCAACACTCCATTATCCCGTAGACACTTTCCTACGTTGGTCTCTCGCAACATGAAATGACATCTTTGGTGCTATGATATCAATATAACAACATTATCACAGTCTGGGTGGTCACTCCGTATATACAAGTACAACGGATTGGTCTGAAAGTATACACTGTATAACGGTTTATATCGATGTGGCCATCTGGATGAGTTGGCCTCTTGTTCTCAGTCTCTGTCCCTGGATTCCACTGTGAATGATAGATCTAAAGCTCGCCATATGTTGATAACCAATTGGTCACTTGAACGTCGCTATGGTGACAAAGCCAATATCTGGTTTGTCTAAGAGTATTAATTACTGGACAAGTTCCACTGGAAACTTCCTCCCGATGCTAATCAACCCGACAGTCGCCTGCCTACATGTACTAACATGTGCCAAATTAGATCGAAGTTATTACATAGAAGTATCAGACAGAAGGGGCTTTTATTTACGACAGCAAATAACACTGTTTGCGTGACCATTGTGACGTCATGAATATAACCTTGACAACGGCAACAATCAGTCCATATTGAAAATAGCTGTTAAGGACGACTAACTTCTTTTGTTTGATGTTTTCTACCTGTAAATCTGCGTCATTCATTTGTGTTCGTTATATGCCAGTAAACGGCTCTTTGACACTACCTTGGAACAATGACATACAAAAATGTAGGCATTTAAATTGGAGCCAGATGCTGGTGCCTTGTGTGGAAAATGGGAGAAACGCAAATCATTTAGCATTTTTGAATTCACAAACCCAATCTGTAGCTGTGGTATGATTGCTCATTTCACATGTCTGATGCTGTGGTATGATCTCTCAGTTCACATGTCTGATGCTGTGGTATGATCTCTCAGTTCACATGTCTGATGCTGTGGTATGATCTCTCAGTTCACATGTCTGATGCTGTGGTATGATCTCTCAGTTCACATGTCTGATGCTGTGGTATGATTGCTCATTTGACATTACTGACTCTTTGGTATAGTTTCTCAATCTCAATATCTGATTATATGACATCCTTGTCTAAATCATATATCAGGTTCTGTGATATTCCTGCAGAATTTACATATCTAGTTCTGTGGGATTTTTGCCTTATTCCCATATCTGATTCTGTTGCATGCTAGTTCAATTTCCAGCCCTTCTAGCTGCAGTATTGATACATGTACCCATTCTCTCACTCGTTCCCTTACTTCAAAATTCCCATTCTAGTTCGCAGTATTAAAAACCTGTTGCAAAAGACTGTTTTCTCTTAGGTGAAAGGCGTCGGGTTTCAAGTGACATGCGTTGTTAAAATTAAAAATATGCGAATTTAATAAAAAAAATCATCAATAAATCAAGCTATTTTGGTTACGTTAGGCCACCAGGGAGCCACTAGGTTGAGAGTGATTAACTTATGACCAATAAACTAATGAATTCTTTGAATATAACTCGAAGTAAACAGATGATTACGTTCTGAGTAGAACCACTTTCAACGACATGGATATTGGTTGCTGCACAATAATTGTCCCTCATCGGACGGCATCGCGTGTTCCATGAAAAAAGCTGCAAAGTGCGGGCGACGTATCATGTGATGTATCAGTAATGTAATCCTTTGCGGCATGCCGAGAGAAACTATGTTTGATCATGTTAGTTACAAAGTCTCGTCTACACCCGGGAGTACTAAATATATATATTAGTTAATGTTTTTAACAAAACCAGTGTCGTTAGCAATTTTCCATCCGTCTCAAATCTTTTGTTCCTTGTTCAAAGCAAATTCTTTAATAGAACATGTTTGGGCCTTTCGTTGATGACAAATTTTATCAAAACAATCATGTAATGTTCTTTTCTTGGTTTTATCTGATAACGCCATACTTTACTTCAAATAAATCCTTCTTAGGGTACAGATATTACCTTATTCTGATCTATTTCTGTTATTTCTGTCCACATCCAGACTAATTTCATATCATTACATTGGTAATGATATAACGTTTGTTTGAAACAGCATTCATTTTAAAGTGCATTGTTAGTTTGCCTGTTGGTTCCGTTTGAGAACCTCACATTATTTACTTGGATTGACCAAGATTTAACTGACTGTTGTCGTCGAAGAAGCAGAGGACACTTATGCTTCTGAAACACCTGGTCTTCTTCTCCTTGTACGTTTTAAGTAGTCGTCCGTTTGGATCTTTCTTTTGTTCATATTTTGCCCTTGTTTTATCGCATTTGAGTTTGGATTATGATCATCTTAATATGATGGTATTTACCCTGTATAATTTTACACATCGTTAACTATATTCATTCCCCTAAATGAAATGTAGCAGCTACCATTGTTTGTACATCACAAACAATTAGCATATATGATGTTAGTCCACAAGGTTGTATTACTGATGTCATATACCTTAGTATCTGTAGCAACGTTAGTCCACAAGGCAGTATTAATGATGTCATATACCAAAGCATCTGTAGCAACGTTAGTCCACAAGGCAGTATTAATGATGTCACATACCAAAGTATCTGTAGCAACGTTAGTCCACAAGGCAGTATTAATGATGTCACATACCAAAGTATCTGTAGCAACGTTAGTCCACAAGGCAGTATTAATGATGTCACATACCAAAGTATCTGTAGCAACGTTAGTCCACAAGGCAGTATTAATGATGTCATATACCGGATGTCTGTAGCAATGTTAGTCCACAAGGCAGTATTAATGATGTCATATACCACAGTATCTGTAGCAATATTAGTCCACAAGGCAGTATTAATGATGTCACATACCACAGTATCTGTAGCAACGTTAGTCCACAAGGCAGTATTAATGATGTCATATACCGGATGTCTGTAGCAATGTTAGTCCACCAGGCAGTATTAATGATGCCATATACCTCAGTATCTGTAGCAATGTTAGTCCACAAGGTAGTATTAATGATACCTCAGTATCTACAGTTATATCAGTAATAAGGATGTTGTGTTCGTGGTGTATAAGACATCCGAACATATACGGAACTCTGCCGGATGTCGTGTGTCCTTTAGGCGTCCTCCCCACATCAAAAACCAGTGTTCATTAGGACCAAACATTTGATAGTTAAGTTTGTAATTCTACTCCAATTATAAATAATTGGTTTTTGGAAATATTTGCAATCCGCTTCCGAACTGATGCTATTTTTAACTACAGGGAATAGAACAAAATATTTGGATAAGGAATCGAGCACTTTCGTTCCAATGCGTTGCCTAACAGAACATTATATTGATATATATGCATGAACGCACTGTCTGAATCAGCAAATGTTTGAGTCTTGTTTAAACTTTGCAGACAATTGGTTATCAATATGTTTATTTTTTTTTCTTTACGCGAAAAGAGGAATTTGATATCAGTATCAAGCCATCTTTATTATTTATCAACATTCCCGACATAATTCCATCATGTAATGTTAAATTAGGTAACGAATTGTTTTGAAAACTCCGAATCTTTTTTAATTTGTTAGTGTGTAATAGAGCATCTATATTGATGCTCTTATTTTTACTGAACAACAACTAGAGAATAGAGAAATCCTTTTAATCTGGCAATTTGTTTTCTGTTTCTGCTTTCAGATGCTGGGATCTCCTCGTGAGTTCCATTTTATACACAACGCTGTGCCAAATATTCGAATGAGAAGAAGCGTGCTTCACACGAGGTTACTGAAATCACACCCAATGGTAAGACTTCGTGATAATATCTTAATGAAATCACACCCATCGGTAAGACTCAATAAATATCTGAATAGTAAGACTTAATAATATCCTATTGAAATCATTTCCAACGGTAAGAAGTATGATATGTCTTAGTGAAATCATACCCAAGGTAGCAGAAAAAAGTTCCCCTGATTTCTTCGTGTTGAAAACCATTGAAACGAAATAGAAAAAATGCTGTTATTGCTAAAATATCGCTAAGTTTCAACCCAAAACTATAGCTTTAACAAGCATACTATCTCCGTCTTAATAATTTAAGTCTAAAAGTGTTGTTATTGTTGCAATATCAACGAAATTCAATAAAAACCAAAATCTGCACAAATTTTGTTCGAAACGGTCTCTCACATTGTCTTGGCCAATCAAACACTTATTTCAACCATTGATGACGTCGAAGCTCCGCCCACTCTCTAGCCAATTTGTTTATATAATCGTGTCAGGATTGTAGGTCTAGGCATATGAAAAAGCTTAAAATGTGTCTCAACATGAATTATCTGTGTAACTTGTAGCTTATATTGATTCCTGGTGTACACACCTGAAATTCGTCATGTCTATCTCTGAATGGATAAAGGTTTTTGTTCACTTAAGTTGATCGATCAAAGAACAGACGTCGTTTACAGTCGTCGACAAAGGATCATGAAGGTAGACTCATCCAAAGTTGTCAGTAGGCTTCTTTCATCCAAAGTTGTCAGTAGGCTTCTTTCATCCAAAGTTGTCAGTAGGTTTCTTTCATCCAAAGTTGTCAGTAGGCTTCTTTCATCCAAAGTTGTCAGTAGGTTTCTTTCATCCAAAGTTGTCAGTAGGCTTCTTTCATCCAAAGTTGTCAGTAGGCTTCTTTCATCCAAAGTTGTCAGTAGGTTTCTTTCATCCAAAGTTGTCAGTAGGCTTCTTTCATCCAAAGTTGTCATAGGCTTCTTTCATCCAAAGTTGTCAGTAGGTTTCTTTCATCCAAAGTTGTCAGTAGGCTTCTTTCATCCAAAGTTGTCAATAGGCTTATTTCAAAAAGGAGATTCGAAGTTACGTATTATTCTTCATATTCGAACATTACCGACAAGCTCACTTGAGGCGGAGAAAAGTCAGGTCACAAATATGGCCATCATCGTTCTTCCACTTTACATTTTCGTGACATGTTTTAGCATGTCGTTATTTCTACCTTGCTAATGTCGATCATCTTCCTCAACGGTAAAGATAGTCGCCATCTTTCGACTAGAGTCAGATTTCATGAGTGTATTGGGGAAAAGATAATGAAAATTACCCACTGAAAAGAAGCTTTACAAAACCATTGTTTTAGAATGAGGAATACATTTTTTTGTCACCTGTCCAACAATACCCATGGTCATGGCTGTGGTTTCTAAACATTTTTCACGTTTCAGCAACACATGTTCTCAAAATGAACACATATAACTTGCGTACTGCTACTAAATTGTAAGACTTACCAAAATAATTTACAGATGAGAAATCACACCTGCAAGTGATCGTTTACCTATAAAGGCCATTGATTATTATTGAAATTACAACTGATGTTATTACTCCGAGAGGCAAGGTGATTAAATACTGTGATAAAAGTACACTCAAGTATATATCTTTATGTACACTCATTTTTACGATCGAATCATATTTAATCACATTTTTAATGAGATCATGGCCTGTTATAATATTTCAATTAATTGTCAATATCAATACTACATAGTCTTAAGTATATAACAGTTCAGTATATATTTAACGTACACCTTAGTGTAATATTGTTTGGTAATATAATAATCGAATATAATGTCATTCCAAAGAACGATCACCCCAAACTGATGGCCACTAGGTGGCGCTATTAAAGCTGCGTTTACGGGTAGTAAGTGCATTGCCAGCAGCTATCGCTGTGAATGATGCTATTGTAGCTTCCGCCATTCGTAGGCGATCTCATATTGATCTATCAGAAACCTGGTACCACCATCTATTGGAAGTGCTAGGCGATGATAAGGGTATACATGTGTTAATAGGAGTACGCCAATGCAAAGTCCTATCAATATCAACACGAGGCGGGTAGCCACGTGTTTGGTTATGAAATCATGTCGCATTAGCCAATATTTTGGACTTGTATATTTGTATGATTCAAAAGATCCATGATCATATTAGTTCTCATCGAAGAACCACTGATACCCGAACATTTGATACGGTGTTCATGCCACAATTTGCCTTTAATCATTGTAAATACAGTGTATTGTAGTTTATCTTTGTACAAACATCCGGTGTTATTTGGGTTCAATTACAACTTGATACGACGATAGAATAATAAGCATGCTACTCCAACCCACAGAAAATGTACTGTAATGACCTCAGTCTTCAGGTACTTAACTGGTGTAACCGAAATGTCACGCATTTTGGTTGTGGTACTTGGTTTGTCAGAAGACGGTGTTGTAACCTTTCCTGTGATTCATTTAGATTCGGTAAGAAGACAGTAGTTATAAACATTCTTTCTTAAACTCATGGCCAAAGGTGAAAAACGATACACTGGCAAGTAACGAGTTAGGAAAAAAAAACAAAGTAAAAAGATGTTATTTTTTCTACTATACACAGGGAGTTAATTCTCCCCCAACATATAAGTTCACCAACATGGAACTTTCTGCAAAAAGCAATCCCAAACGTTTTATGGGATTTATTAAAGGAAAGCGGGGACTGTTCCATACTCAGTCTCGGACTGTTCGTCGTTTTCCAACGATGTTGAATATACTGATATGTTTAATTCTTTCTTCTGTACGGACGACAATAGTGATCTTCCTCAAATATAAGTGAAAATGAATTTGCTTGCCCTCTGAAAACAACTGTTTTGAAATGTACTGATGTTCAGAAAGCACGAACATTTAGATGTAAAAACACGCTTGTGGCTGATGTGGTACATGTAACATTTTCAACCGTGCATTGAATGATTGGTATCTTTCTATGCATTTTAAAAAGGGTCAATGTTATTCCAATTTTAAATCTGGTAAACGTGACGAAGCCTCTAATCAGATCAGTATTCTACTTCTTATTTTATCTAAAGTTTTTGAAAAACTAGGTGACGTCCATTTTTTCAATTTTTATAAATCCGCTGATATGCGATGAGCAACGCTGTCTACTGTTTCAAACCTTGCATATTTCACCGATCAGATTTCAAAAGCCTTTGACGAAAAAGTAGAATTACATGCGGTATATGCTGATTTTTCAAAGGTTTTTGACAAAGAAACCCACAAATTATTATTGAACAAGTTAAAATCATATGGTGTAGAAGGATGTAGCATGTTAGATTGGTTAACTTCTTATTTGAAAGACAGATTCCAGCGTGTTACTGTCAATGGGGCAGCATCCAGTTGGTGTGAGGTTACTTCTGGTGTGTCCCAAGGTTCGATACTTCGACCTAAACTTTTACTTGTTTTTATCAATAAACTGCCGTCTCTCTTAGTTTTTTTTTTTTTCTAAAACTCTTATATTTGCCTTTGACAGTAAATTTGTGTTTAAGAACGCTGCCGGAGTGTGAGCAGCTACAGTGTTACATAGATAGAATGTATGATTGGTGTTCTGCGTGGAAAATGAAAGTGAATCTGAAGAAGTGTTGCCAGGTCATTTTTACAAACAAGAAGAAATTATTAATTTTAATTACAGTATAAACCTTGAGAACCTGAAGAATGAAACATATGTGAATGATTCTGGTGTCTGACTTCTACAGTGAGTTTTAGTGCCCACATCCAACGTACTGTTTTCAAAGCAATGCGAACGTGCATGTATAAGGTTTACACTAATATCTGTTTTAAGGTCTTTACACATAAGTCTTGTCAGGAATCGGTAAGAATATTGTTGACAGATATGGTCTCCTTATCAAACATCTTTAATTTACCAAATGGAAATTGTCAAGAGCAAAAATATTTGAATTTTTCATGTTTTAAGGCACACGTCAATTACAATTCCATGTCTTACGCTGACACTAGTAGACATTTTATCTTCCTAGCCTCGAAGACAGACGGGCATTTTAAGACTATGTCTTTTTTTTCAAACGTTTAAATAGCGCTTTTGACTGTTCATATTTAATCAATCAAATGTGGTTTTAGTCCCTGGTCTTAATCTGCGTCCAATTCGTTTTAATCAGTTTTACTGCCAGAAAAATCGAATAAACGTCAGAAAGTACGGTGTTTTAAACATAATTTAATGGCTTTAACTCTCTTGATTGTGCATGACACTGTGATATGTTTTGAATATCTCTGGCAGAGTTCAAGGTAAATTTACAGAATATTTTTGTCACTGGTTCTATATGCATTTCCCAAGTGTACCCTTTAGTCGGTGTTACATGCATAACTGATATTTTGTACTTGTGTTGTATTGCTATTATCCATTCTGAAAATGGGCCCTTGGGTCTGTAGAATTGGAAATAAAACGTAGATTTATGAGAATTATTTATGCCGTTTTTTTTCCCTGCAGAGTACATGAAGACTTAAACCTATTTTTGCTCTGCAGGTGGAAGAAACAGTTTATGTGACTTGAATCATTATCGATGTCGATGTCCATGGCTTCATTGTAATGTTAAACTATTTGTATGCAAGTTTAAAAGAAATTGTCTTAGAAAGAAAACAGAAAGAATACAACAACCTGAACTAACAGTATTACGGTGCCCCGGATAATCACTTCTGCCAAACCCAATAGAATTATCTTAGCTATGACATAGCTTGTTATATCGCAATGTTTTTCCTTCCTAGGTAAAAAGAGCTGTACAACAATTGGGATATGTACGGGCCAAACGAGGCTTCAAACCTTTAAAAGGTGTGCCCATATCTGACATCAAACTGACAGCTCCGGACATTGAACATTTCTTACTGAATCATGATCTCACGGCGGAGGATATCACGGAGGATGGAAGCAGTGCACAAACACCTAATGATCCATTGTTTGCGAAAGAATGGTACCTGGTAAGACTTGTTACGTTTAATCTATAACTTCTACCTGGCTAGTCTCTTATATTGTATCATTTTTGCACTCAGCATATTTTTAACTTGTAGGACTTGTTATATTTTATAGAATTTAGTATGCTTGTTGGATCCTTTTTTATTGACCTTATTCTCAACAAATATTTACATTGCGGCTATTGTCAATGAAGCAGAAAACGCTTACCCTTCCAGGAAATTTGGTACACCCTTGTACTTTTCTAGAGTCTTCGTGTGAGTCTTTGTTTTTCTTTATATTTCACCATATTTTCTTTAGATTTTGGTGTGAACTAAAAGCTGATGGCATGGCAGTATTTCTAAAATTGTTATGTATTGTCAATAGGAAGTTTGTACCCTTTGTGTTGTGTAAAAATCTACGGATGCATCAAATTTCCTTCAAACTAATGCTATTTGTAAAGATGACATTATCGGATGTCGTTTTTTACAACGATTACATGGGGAAAAGGGTTAATGTAGGTGGCAATGCGGCACGAAACTTGGTTAGGTAGTGTTTAATACCTTAGGTTACTGGATTAATGGTGATAATAATCATGACGACATTTCCAGTTATCTTTAAATGTTGCTCCTACCTCATCTGAATGACAGATATGTACACCATTATACGTACCAATATTACAGTCATATCGGCTCATGACGTTTTTAAGGTCACCTTAGACAAAGTCTTACGGTGACCTATTGCGATCGACTTTTGTCGTGCGTCGAGCTTACGTAAATTAAGTTTTAATTTTTTCGACTTCTTCTGAAAAAGACATAAACCGATTGTAATGAAATTTTGAAGAGACCTTCCCTGACCAAAGATAAACGTAAATAGTGAATAATATGATTCCCACCTTAGTGGACTGAGGGCGGGGCTAAATTGACTCAAATTTAAACAAAAATCCTCTCAACACCCAGATATGGCAGAATCAAATGCTCTTCATGGATGGAGGCGACTTCAGGTGCTTTAACAAAATTGTCATGGTCTCATATTTCTTTCTAGGGAGGAGGTGAAGTTTTTTTAGATAGGAAAATAACATTATTTGAGCATGGGTAAGAATTACTAATATAGGATGACAGTTTTGATGGTATACATAAATTGACACTGACTTACTATCATCATTTTCTTTTTCATGACACTTGAAAGCTACTTACCCTACAACCTTTCTGTCTAATATTGCTTGCCTTAGATGACCGTCAAGGCCGCTTACCTTTTGTTTCTTCTAATATAATGATTGACTTTGACAAGTTATGTAAGAACTTGTATTGATGCAGACTCTACGGTAAATCCATTGTAGTCAGTGGCAACGCGACAAGCCTAAATATAGCTTTAAAGTGGTTTAGTATGGTTTTTGGAGATATGTTGGGATAACCTGCTAGACAGTCTATTGGCAGATAGCGTTCATGCTTCAGACATGTGATGTTATCCCAGGCTTACAGTGTCGCCATTGAGACTTATCATTCTGTTTGCGGAGACCTTCAATGTAATCGATTTTACCGTCTCGGATCACTAATGTCAACCACGAAAGCCTTCCTAAAACATTAGATCGTCTCCATTCGTGGTTATCACTACAGCACAGGTTTGTCTTTGTCATGCAGGTCTTCACTTTACTTCTGTAGATACTTCGTGTGGTGCATCTACAAGATGTTCCTGCTTTATGTGATACAATCACGTTTCACTCGTCCTTCATCAGACGACGGATATTTATTTAGTTTAATGTACATTTAACAACATGCGAACTGTAGAAATAGTTTTTATCAAAAAGCGATACCGTCGATGTATCCACTTTGTGCCGCAGTCTGTGACAAGACACGAAATGTCACCAAATGACGGAGTGTCTCACATTATACGTATGTCTCCATGTCAAATAAAGCTATTGATATTTCCATCCCGCTTCATATCAACTGATCACAATTTCAAACGTCGAGGGACCGAAACCTTATAGCAAATATCAACCCTTGCATCGTGATGACGTTATCGATGATGTAGGCGGACACACCAAGTAGCATTCATGAAAAAACTTCCGCTTTTTAACAAAAAATACGAGGCCCATATGGTAAATAAATCTACTGACGATTTCAGTCCTTAGGAAACAATATAAAGACAACTTGTACAGCTTAGAAATATTTACAGAATATTATCTGAAGCTCTTTAATGATTTTTTTTCTCGTCTCATTGAACATTGAATACGAATTCCATTCAGTTGTCTAATTGTCGAAACATATTTTTCTGATAGACGACAAAATGGTCAATAATGGAGTTTCCATGATATGTCGGCGGTCGACAGTTGTACAGTGCAGACTTGAACATAACATGGTGACGATATGAACTATATTAGTAGACACTCCTGTCTGGAAATCGGATTAGAACTCAACCATGGCCTTCATGGAAGTGTGTGAAATATATATCAAAATGCCCTAAACTGTTTCTATAATTTCTCTCCGAGGTCATTGTAGGTAGACAAATCTGCTTGAATTCAGTCCTCGGGGTTTACCGTAACTTACATACTTCGTTTTAGTTCGTTCGAATGGTGCAAAACTTCAGAATAGAAAATGTACTTGAAACTCTGTTGAAATCATTCGATATTGAAAACTTGGATATTTATCAAATTTTGGGTTAGCGCACCTCTCCATCCGTTTTTGACATTCCTTTTAAACAACTTGAATATACCAAAGTCGCCTCCTTGTTAACGATAATATAGGCTTTTAGTATCACTGGCGCGTTCCAGAAGACATGACAGCCGCGGGTTTGGCTCTATCTAGTTATACATTTGTATTAAAAGGTTTTCTACTGTAGTATGTTTTTTCTGTACAATTATTGGAATTGCTGGTACGTAAACTCGCCAAACCGGTTATATACTCAATTAAGGGCCACATCTCAATTCTTATGAAAATAAGCGCTAGTGCAGAATATCCATTGAAATTATCCAAACACCAAAGTAAATCGCGATCATAACATTTCCTCTTAAAGCAAGATAAAGCCCTTGAAATTTTGCTATTCTCTATTGGGCAAATACTGTATCTGATATCTCACTCTTATTGAAAGATGCCTTTCATTTGTGTGGGTTCTTTTTTACCATCCTATAAATATACATCCTTCTTAACTGTCTGTCTCGACTAATATTTTCACACTGTTCCTTTTTAATATGTTATTTGTGCGATTATAACCTTACTTTTAACTCGAAAATCCATCCTTTCATACACAATTGTTGTTTTTATGGCCGCTAATTTGCTCAGACTCTAAACTGAAGGGAATGACCTGGCTTGGCTATCTTGGTAAACCCTGGCCCGGCACAATTATTGATCAACAGCATTCACACCGTAAGAGAGAGCTGCTATTGAACTTCGGTAATTACGAACAACTGGAATGGCATCCCGTCTGTAATTAGAATGGAAGCTTGTGTTGGATTATAAGTCGACGAATTAACGTTTGTGATTCTGAATAAAATACCGACATAACAGCAGAACCTTAATTCGAATTCTTGTTGATTTGGCAAATTTCAGACATGGAAGGTGCTTACCGGTCTCTAAGTCTTTGTAGAGGACGATTCGAGATATACAATGTTATAAAACGTTTATTGGTATGGTCGAGACTTTTATTCGAAGATGTTAACCGGAATTTCATCCATTCTCGATGATTGTTTGGGATTAGAGCTGAGCAATATTTCTCTCCTTGGTTGTTGGGAATTAGAGCTGATTTAGATTTGATTCTCTCTATGGTTGTTGGGAATAAGATCTGAGTAAGACTTGTTACTCTCTGTGGTTTTTGGGAATAATAGCTGAGTAAGACTTGTTTCTCTCTATGGTTGTTAGGAATTAGAGCTGGGGAAAATTTGTTTCTCTCTATGGTTGTCGGGAATAATAGTTGAGTAAATTTTGTTTCTCTCTATGGTTGTTGGGAATCATTAGAGCCGAGTCAGATATGTTTCTCTCTATGGTTGAATTTGAGTTTGCAGAGAATTTTTTCCCTAAGATTGTCGGGAATATGAGCTTAGTGAGATTTATTTTTTTTCTTAGGTTGTCGGGTATTTGAGCAGGTCGTGTCTTTCTCTAAGGTTGCTGGGAAGTGGGGGTTTGGCTTTTTCTGCGGTAGACCTGAAGCTGATTACAATGACAACGTCTGATTTAATTCTATCGGGATATCTAAGATGATGTGAAATGTTGGAATATTGAATTATGGTGAATGAACATGGCGAATTATTATGATTTCATGTAATATCTAGTATTAAATTAATGTTATTGAAAGTAGTTTGAGTGAAACAGTTATTGAATTTCAGTTGGATATATAACAGTATTTTGGACATGATGATTGTTAGCCGGGATGCCTTTGTGTGGCAGTTTGCAATGAATGGCTGCCTACTTGCAAATAGAAATATGTATAAGATCCATTTTTCTCTTAAAGAAGGGGGTCGTAAGATATTTACGGTCGTTACACATATGATATTTACGGTCTTTACACAGAAGACGATAGTAATGAAATCCAGCGGTCGTGTAACAATCTCTGTAGAAGAAGGGAGACAGGAAGGGCTGATCGGGAAATTATTATATTAACTCTGCATTCCGGAATAGAAACAAGAATACTGGATTGAATCAATATTGAAAATAAAATGAATAACATCATATGTATTGCAGAATTAATCTATAGCTATCCTGACTTGACTTAACTAGATCAGTCTCTCCTACAAACTTTTCTCAAAAACCGATTCTGAGTATTATAATTTCGTCCTGAACGAATCTAACAACAAACGTGGACCCATCCATTAACCCTTGTTGTTGTGTACGAGCAATCGACATTTACTTAAGTGACAAACTGACCTCGACTGACCCACCACTATCTAACCATATACTGACTCTCTGATTCCATTAAGATGCCTATGCTATTGATTGCGGTACAGATGACGTGATCTACCGCTTTAATCCAATGACTGTTTCATCTGAGTGTTTCCGACACATTAGCTCCACGTGAATACAATCAGGAATAGTTCTCCACAGATAAATCGCTGACTGGAATAAGGGAGCTTCCGGTACTGAATTGTTGAATTATTATAATCATTTCCCTGTAAGTTGTTGGGGACGTAGGGCAGTCATGGACATTATACTGTGTACCATAGTGACTAAACAGTATAACCTGTAAGTTGTTGGGGACGTAAGGCAGTCATGGACATTAGACTGTGTACCATAGTGACTAAACAGTATAACCTGTAAGTTGTTGGGGACGTAGGGCGGTCATGGACATTAGACTGTGTACCATAGTGACTAAACAGTATAACCTAAATGATATACTCTTAAAAATAATACGGATATTATTTCCCGAGCAGTTTTTTTTTCAGAGCGAAAGACTGTCCTGATCATTGTTGTGGCGTTTTCCTCTTTGTAGTGAAAGTGTGTAGGTGTAAATAAACCCAAGTCAAATTAATTCTGCACAGCGTTCAATCACTTAACTTGTCACGTGCATTTTTATTATATTTTATAAATTGGTCTTCTATACTCTAGTCACGTCTTCAATATTAATTATATACATCCAAAACAAAATCAAATGAACAGTACGATTGATATCCGACATTGTACAGGTCTGGTTTCTACAAATCTAGTTATATATATAGTGTACAACACTGCAGATACATCATCCACGACTACATATTGCCTTTAACCAACATGACATAAATCATGGCAATAGGAGCCGTCTTAATTTATTGTCTCCCTCATCAATCCTTAATTGACGCTAGTAAGTGGAGGATGTTTCAGAATCAGTGGGCACTGTTTGTATTCGCTCAGGCCGTAATCATGATGTCAGACCTTGAAAGACGCTCCGTCTACACGTCATTTGCCCGCCTACGCACCAGAGAGAGGGGAACTTGCGTAGAATAAACATGTCAGTTGGAGAAATCGATGTCTGCTGCATGAGCACTATTTTTACATTCAAGAATAGCATTGTATTCAGTTATCTTTTCATACTCATGCATTTTATAAAATCTAAAGTATTTATTCCAGCATTCTATAACAATAAAATACTGAGTTTATTTGTGATAGTTTATACACTGCAATGTATATTGATTGATTAGTGTTGTTAAGTTTCTATATTTAATTCTAAAACAAATTTTATTGATACTTTTTACTGTTATTCACTTTGTAGAATTTATTTCCTGACAATCAATTACCCAGTTTTACCTCTTGTTTTATACTGATTTTATCACACCTATTTTCCTATTGATTTGCTTTACAGCTTCTTCAATTATTCTGCTTTTCTTTACGATCATTTTTTTTAAATGATTTTTTCTTTTTTCAATTTTATTGGTTTTATTTCTGCCATTGTTTAAATAGATGAAAGTGCTACTTCACTACAGATAATCTAGAAAATCATTAGTAATATGACTTTCTTAGATAAATGGACTAATTGCTTGTCTAAATTTCGTTCCCAGAAAAACACCGGCCAGTCCGGAGGAATCCTGGGTTTGGATCTAAATGTGGAAGCAGCATGGGCAATGGGCTACACCGGAAAGGAGATCACCACCGCCATCATGGACGACGGTGAGTGTCTATAATGGAAAGGCTGTTGTTGACCTTGTACTAGGTTTATCACTCACCAGACTTAAAAATCGACAGATTCTTCTACTACAGTTACTTACAACGATCTATACATACAATTCAATAAAAAAAAGACCAGTAAAAACTGGATTCTCCCGTCTTAGACCTTCTTACGTGTAGCCTTTGAGTTCGGTATTCAACAATTTGTTACCAATATCCCGATCAGGTGAAAGATGGCGGCTGACAATCACGCCACAGAGTTTCCAGAAATGGCAATGACGGTAGCCATTTATTCAATATTTATATCAATAGTATTTATCACTTAACAGTTATATCATTTGGAAGATTCCGTAGTGATAACCCTGGGTTTTTGTATTTGAGAACACAAGATAAAAACACATGACCCTCTCTTTCTATCCTGAGTTCTCAATATTGATCTAATATTTTACCCTTGTTTCAATTAAGTTTGGCGTTTAATAAGCATTTTCTTGTTCCTGTGTCTTGTTTGATGTCTCTACTATATAATACTTTAGAAAAAAAAAACAATTTTTCGAACAAAAAGCTTCAGCATTTTATAAAAAAAAATTACATTATAAACGGAATGCTACCTTAGCCTCATGGTCCGTTTGTGATCGGTAGAACCCTACCTACATATATCTCGGGTCAGAATTAAGAAATGTCCTTCCTTTGCTGTTCCTATCAAGCCAGCAGGAAATTGTTACCTGGAAAGAACACCAATACAACAATTAAACGGTATCAAGAGGAGAGTTACGACAACAAACCATTATTTGTTCGTTCTCCAGCTTTATCTCTGGCTGGATGTGACGGAAGTCATCATGCAAGTTTCACATAGGCAACAGGAAATGCTACAACTAAAGAATCCGACAACATTAGACTCGAAAGACAAACATTGTTATCGCTTTTCAGGACATGTCTTTCACGATTTCCAGTTTTTATACTCTCACTCCCTCAGATCAGTAATATGTCTTAATTAACCAGTGTTGTAACAGAGGACAGTGTACTGGATGATATAATGAAACAAAACGTATGGCGTCCATTACCTGGGAACTTATCTCATCTTCGTCTAATTCTAAATGTATGATACCAGATTACCATGTTTGGTACCGAGACTATGTGTATGTATCAGATTGTCTGGTACCGAGACTATGTGTATGTATCAGGTTGTTTGGTACCGGGACTATGTGTATGTATCAGGTTGTTTGGTACCGAGACTATTTATATGTATCAGGTTGTTTGGTACCGAGACTATGTGTATGTATCAGGTTGTTTGGTACCGAGACTATGTGTATGTATCAGGTTGTTTGGTACCGAGACTATGTGTATGTATCAGTATCTAGCTGTGACGTAGTCGAACTATAAAGCATGTGGGTCGATGCTGTGATGACGTCAGTACATCAATCCATTCATCCAGCCTTAGACAGGACTACAAACAACCCGAGGGCATGGTAAATACAGTACGGCCGAGTAATCACTTGGCTTTTTGTATCACACAATCATTACTCTAGCTGAATTGATTTTTGAAGTAATAATTAAATTCATATAAACAGGGCAGTATTTATTTCTGTGGTAAAATCGTTAATATATTCCAGCGGTTCACTTTAATCAGAACACAGTGGCCAATAAGCATTGATTTCCCTCAAACAAGCTCTGCTTTGTTTTTGATTAGAAACAGTATCCTATTTCATGACTTATTCATGTTACTATTCAAAGGACATTGTACGTCTTCTTCAATATATGAGTTCAATCGTGATTCATTTATGTAATAATGTTTGGCTGTAGGCCTATATCTTAGCGACCAAACACTAGTGACCTTTGTTGATGTTATCATTAGGACTATGCTATAGGTACATGTACATTCTGGCTTACTGTTACATCGTCACTATAAAAAGTAGAACAAGCAGTGGTCAAAGCTTGGGTGATTTTACAATTCCAGGTGTAATCCTCAATAGAATATAAAACATAAATTCTTCCGTAACTGACCAATGACTGCATCCATCCTTCCGTAACTAACCGATGACTGCATCCATCCTTCCGTAACTGGCCGATGACTGCGTCTTTCCTCCGTAACTGACCGATGACTTCATCCCACCTTCCTTTTCAATCAGACGTATAACGGACAAGTAAAGTTAAACTTTATTGCACCCTTAAGGCAGAAAAAAACTACAGAAACATAGAAGTCTGGAGGACTTTCGATAATGAGAAAAAACTTCTTTTTAAATCCCGCACAATATTTTGAAACCATACGCCTTAAAACTGAAGAAATAGTTCGTGTTTTATAATTCATACAGGTAATTGAATTGTGTGATTATGATTTTTTTTCACAAAAACCTATCTTCCAATACAGATATTCACAACAAGTCATTTCGTTATGGCGTCGAACACTGACATTCTACAGGCTTATCTTGTCATAGATAATAATAATAATATTTTGTGTATTGAAGATAATGATTTCCTCATTATTCAATAAATAACACGAAATGGCACGAGGGTATCACATGCCTCTAGAATCAAAGCTTTGGAGTCGGGAGATCTGATTGATCAGTATACAATATCGACCTTGGCAACAGATTTTCTGCGGAATAATCTCCTGACCGGGAGCAGTGTCCAGGAAAACAAGTGACGGAGTTATTAGACGTCAGCATCGTCACTACATCCATCAAAAGTGTCCGACAAATTGTGATAAATCGACAACTAATTAGGTTACTAAAGCCAAATGTGACTTGATTTCATTTTGGTATTGCAAAAACATCAAATGGGAAAAAGTGGCATTAATATACGTGTTTGTGTAATCTGAACGCGACGGTTTATCTTACGGACTTAACAACGCCATCCATCACCTGTATCCGGGATCGTTGGCTCCGTACAATCACTCCAGACATGCTATTCCATGGTGTCCATTTCCCTAGACACTCACAGAATACCGTCTCCAGAGATAAAGCTATACAACTGTCGCTTTAGTGCTACATACAGCATCGTCATCACTGCTCCACACAACGTCACAATCCTTTGCGAGTATCAAAGAGAAAACCAGGACTTGAGCATGTTTCTTTCCAGCTGCAAGGAAGACAGTGTCACTTAGGAACGTATCCCTGCCTTATCACGGACAATTGAAATTTCAACTTAACAGGTTGAAATAATTTATGGAAAGTTTTTAAGTTACATTTAGGCTTGAAAGGAATATATTCGATATAGATATGGAGGTTGACGCCTGAGCTAGCTTGATACGTTTATTGTAATTGGAAAAGCGTTGGTTTCAGTAATTGGATAGTCGAGTGGAAGGCAGACATGTTGGCTTGTAGCTAGTAAATCTGAGATTAACCCCGTGTAATATGATTCTAATGACACTAAGGTTTTACTTCTGTAACAGAATTCTAATTATACTCCAGTTTTATCTTGTGTAATTAAAGTCTAAATATAAAGAGACCTTATTCTGATTCTGTCCTTAAACATTTACTGATCCCGTGTTTTCTCTTATACAGGTATCGATTATTTGCACGAGGACCTGAAACACAATTACGTAAGTAATTCAATTAGTGACGGACTGGTGAAACTCTACATGGTAAACCCATCACATACCCAATGTATGCTTTGTTGCTTCTCTAACCTGAAACGCTAATGGTGTTGATGAAGCGGAGTTTTTGCTGTCACTGACGGTAAATAACCAATGTGTATAAAAATCCCAGCAGTAAACCAACAAAAGCATGAAGATAATTGTTTATTGGCTTATTCAATCGATATTCAACTCATTCTTTGAGAAAGACACCAGTTTACCGTAATCAAAGTAGCTTACGTAAATTTAAGCTGATTTTGATGACGTAGCAACGATACTGTTACGTCATTGTTCTGCTCTATTGCGTCATGCCTGCGTAAAAGAATAAGAGGCTTTGTAAGTGTAAAATTGCATGTTAATATCATTTGGCTGTAATATTTTCATCTCTCATTCTTAGAATGCCAAGGCCAGTTCTCTATTAAAATGTTTGACTCTTACATTCTCAGAAAGCCAAGGTTTGTTATATACTACAATATTTGAATTTCTCATCCGCAGAACGCCAAGGCCAGTTATGACTTCAGTAGCAATGATCCATACCCGTATCCACGCTATACAGACACGTGGTTCAACAGGTATGAACTCCGAATTTCTTGAAATAAGCTCTCGGTTTTCAATTGTGTGCCATGCGTTGATACTAAACATATATGATATATCTAGTGACGTGCTTTTAAATTTATCTTGTTAAATTAATTCTTTGGTGTGTTAACAAATTATTCCTGTTCGGTCTTTAGGGACTTTACTTACAAATTATTTATCTATATATTGATCCCGTAAAAGTGTTTTAACATAAATTCCTTAGTAGTGTATTTGTAAAATATCCCAGAAATCGCGTTTACGGTAACTCTGATATGTGTTTGTGTCCCCACAGCCACGGCACTCGCTGCGCCGGCGAGGTGTCTGCAGCCCGGGACAACAAGGTCTGTGGAGTAGGCGTGGCTTATGATTCTAAGGTGGCAGGTACGTGGATCTAAGTCTTTAAGTCCCCGGACTTGTCTTCTCAGGCTGCTGTCATATCTGTAATTCTGCCGTTTGAAGATAAATACGTCAATAGAAGAATCACTAATCGTGTTTTCTAGACATAAATCAGTGCTAATGTTATAGAGTGAGGTCTTTGTGCAAAGCAACAGGTTGACGATCGCAATCTCTCATTTTATTGGTTAAATCTTGGTGGCCACAGAACGTGCCGATATAAAGATTGGAATTCCTAGCTTTGTGGTACATCCGCAATATATTGATGTAAAGCTTGCTTAGATTTCGTTACAAATATACAAAACAAAATAATGGTAGTAAGGACTCTACTCAGAAGGTTATGTCTACTGTCTTATCCATTTGTCTGCGACAATGATATGAAATGAAATCAATGTCAAGAGTTTAACATGTTTCGCTTGTTGATTCACGTTCAAAATTTGAAATGGCATTTTTGTGAAAGCCCTTTTATTTCATTTGCAAATCAATAAATTCTACGTTTACTCCAGATTTGAGTACAACCTTATTACAACAATTCAATATACATCGTCTGTAGAGTTCCTTCACAGTTGTGGACGGGATGTGTTAATGATTTAAGTGAACATGTTGCAGGACTAAGGATGCTAGACCAACCATTCATGACAGATTTAATTGAGGCCAACGCTATGGGGCACATGTCAAATGACATCGATATATACAGCGCCTCCTGGGGGCCAACGGATGATGGCAAGACCGTAGACGGGCCCCGCAATATGACCATGAGGGCGATAGTTCATGGCGTCAATGAGGTAATCTTGGATAGCCAGGTCTATCTAGTTTCTAGATACTTTGTAAATATTACATGTGACGGTCCACTTTCACTTTGCCAGTAGCCTAAAAATACAATACGTGTTTAAGGACTAAAGGAATATCATCAATATTAGTTGTAAGAGACTAATACAAAAAAGGAAAACATCCAACCACATAATAAAGTATTTTACATATTTCAATGTTTCCCGCTTGTTCTAACTGGATAGGAGAACGTCACAAGCAGATCGATAGGTAACGTGGACTCACAAGCTCCTAAATTTAGAACAGTCGAACCATATATTTCCCGGAATGTGATAAATTTGTCTTTGAGGATAATTTTTGACATTTTAATTAAGCATTACATGTTAAAACATTGGAGAAAGTGCACTTCGAATGTTCAATTAGAAGAAAAAATTGCTTTGTAATTATAGTCATAGTAGGTGTAATGAAATCACTGGGAAATGTGTACACATTTAAATATAAAAATGAAGGACTTTGATTCCGGTCATAATGGTATTATACACTATGCTAGAACAATATTGACCTCTGGCGGTGTTAACCTTCCTCGTGATAAATAAACACTTGTAAGTGAAAAAGCGGTCACCTTTCTCGGATGTTGGGATCTGTATCATCCATCCTAAAACTAATAACGCTTTATCTTGGGAAAAATCAACACTCTTTAATCAGTTTTATCCCTATAACCAGGGACGTCATGGTCTAGGGAATATCTACGTGTGGGCTTCCGGTGATGGCGGTGCGGATGATGACTGTAACTGTGACGGTTATGCGGCCAGCATGTGGACTATTTCAATTAACTCCGCCACTAATGATGGGCAAACTGCCGGATACGACGAATCGTGTTCCTCCACCCTTGCCTCTACTTTCAGCAATGGCAAAAGCACACTTCGTGACGCTGGTGTGGTGAGTAAAACTGTAATACTACGCTCTATTGTGGTGGTAAATAATCCTGTACTTCTATATACTGTTGTAGTGGTACATGATATAAGTAACCCTGTACCAAAGCCGTATATGTGAGTAACACCTTTCAATACAAAATTAGGTATGACCCTGCATCAAACTGCCATTTCGTCTTTGTTTCTAGTGGGGCAAGAGGCCCGGGGTTGAAACCTAGGAGGCGATGTAGGTAAATCAAAATATGCGTCTACATTGATACTGATATCTGATAAATTTGGAAACTGTATTTATCTCATCGTGACGAACATCGGGAAGGGATATCGGGATTTTGCCGTATGTACAATAAAATGCACATCTAACATACCTAACCAAACACTTATCCTCATCGGCACTGTGGGGATATTATTCCATGGAGGCACGCGCAAAGGACCATCATATCTAGAATGAGCAGGAATGCCAGGGTTTTGGGGGAAATGTCACTGTCAATATATATAGAAATTCCCTGTTAACACCATAGCAGCTTCACTCCTAGTTAGGGAGTTTGATCAAATTTCGCACTCTTATACAGAACGCATTTATCTAAATTGAGTACAGGGTTCTGGAATCAAGGTCAAGGTCACCATTACTATTGTCTGTAGCAAGCGTTGGTGTCTTTGTTGCACATCACTCATTGTTGATTCGCGAGGGGATCTGTATCACTTACAATGCATTTTCTTGTTCATGTGTACGTGTATGGTGTGGTGGTGGTGGTGGTGGTATGTGTGTCAGGGGGAGGTGGGGGATGGGGGATGGCTGTGGGTGTTTCTATGTTTTTGTGCATTTGTGTTGTTTTTGTAATTTCGTCTCGCCTACAATAAGACGGTCTTGCGTCAGAATAAGCCGCACGTTAGAATCTTGTTATCAATTATTAAACAAGAAGAAATGGAAAAAGTCCATGACGGTAACCTGAACCACTATGAAGCATTTGATTCGAGAAATCTGTGGTGGTGTCTACGTCCGGGCGACTATAACGTTAGAAGAGCTATGATTAAGTTTCCACGACAAATACAGGCTTATGCAGGAGAGATGTTCGCTAACAAAATCAACATTAAATAAGGAACGAGAGAAACGAATGCCGTGTGCTTTAACAAGCATAATAACTGTATTAGGGCCTTTCCTCCAAGATATTGAGTCCGGGCACTTCTGGCTTGATAATTTAATATCATCAATGTGAAAAGGTTTGGAAAAACTACAATGTCACGACATTATTCACACGCACTGTTTTTAAAACCGTGGTAGATCTCATGATTCACACAGATATGAATTATGAATTTATTTTATACTGATCATAAATGACAAGCACCTTGTATTTATATGTTTCAGGCTACTACCGACCTGTACAACAACTGTACCACCACTCATTCAGGAACTTCCGCCGCGGCACCGGAAGCTGCTGGTGTCTTCGCTCTCGCATTGGAGGCAAAGTAAGTAACTGGTTTACGCCAGATATCAACATAATGCTAGCACGTGTTTAACGACGACATAAAGTACAACATATTGATTATATTTCTACGACGACATGGCTGCGTTAGACTCTATAGTGATGTTTTACAGTCAAAAACTTTCAGATATGTCAAGATTCGAATGATCTATGAAACAGAGATAAATGATTGTCTTAGAATTACTTCATCAGTGTCATTTTGTGTTACCCTGATAGATAGACAGTAGAATATGTTAAACTGCAGTAACTGTAGTTACCAGTAGAATGTGCTAAGTAGCAGTGAAATTAGTTACCAGTAGAATATTTCAAATAGCAGTGAATTTAGTTATCAGTAGAATGTGTTAAACAGCAGTAACTGTAGTTACCACTGGAATGTGTTAAGTAGCAGTGAAATTAGTTACCAGTAGAACGTGTTAAACAGCAGTAACTATAGTTACGAGTAGAACATTTTAAATAGCAGTGAATTTAGTTACCAGTAGAACGTGTTTAATAGCAGTAGATTTAGTTACCAGTAGAATGGGTTAAACAGCAGTGAATTTAGTTACCAGTAGAATGGGTTTAATAGCAGTAAATTTAGTTACCAGTGCAATGGGTTAAACAGCAGTGAATTTAGTTACCAGTATAATGGGTTAAACAACAGTGAATGTAGTTACCAGTAGAATGAGTTAACCAGCAGTACCTTTTATTACCAATAGAATGGGTTAAGCATGCCTTTAATAAAATCATGAAGTCACTAGTTTAAAGAAGAATTTCTTTATAATATGATTGGTCCCTCTTGCAAGTCCCCTGGTCGATGAACCCATTATAAAATAGGTAGGAGACCCTAGATGTTCCTGTTGTATGGTAATGCCACCAGTGGGATGTTGGCCTTCAGGAATCATCTATTGGTTTTACTTATGCACAGTGTATGATCGCCGAGGCTGTACCTTACTATATGTTATCCAGGGTCAAATTATATGTTCTCCAAAGATGTTACCTGTTGTACCTTAAATGTAAGTTCTTTAAGGATGTGCCCTCATTTCATATTCTCAAAGGTATGTTCTCCAATGTGGTACCTTAACTATTGTACCGCAGCTGCTAATGAATGTCATAAGATATGCAGAACTGTGTTAGTGTCGTCTTCTTTTTTATCCTTGTGTCTATCCGAGGCAGCATTATCAGTCTGGAGAACAGTCATTATTACCTCTGAAGCAGGATGCAGTTGCCCATGTCGACTTCCTGTCGGTCTATCGATAATCGATGCGCGATGTCCAATTAGGTTTCTGTCACTTTAGTAATGCAATAATGCCTTATCTAATGCGACACCTTCTGTGGGAACGTACGTCTCGCTGAGTTGATCCAATTGTCCCGCGGTGTTGATGACATAACGTGATGAAAGGATATCCGGAACCGACCTCGCCTGGCCGCATGCTCAAAGCCATTTCCTTAGAAAATGTCACCTAGTACAACAGAGTTATTGTTGGTAAAATCGACAGTTTATGAATAGGAATGGCAAAGTATTACATATTTAATATGAAATACCTATCGATCATATAACATTTTGCTATTCAGGGCGTCTTAACTCACGACTGGAGAAGTTTTATATATTCTGCGTGGGTAGAGTTGATTCTTCGGTCATAATACTGAAATAGTTTATATTTCGCCTCAAGAAGTCTCCTGCAATCTCAGAAGTTATCATATAATGCCATTCTGAAAGTGTGTAGGAATAAAGGGCTCTGCTTGCTTCTTTCGATGTCTCTATATCTAATGCTATAATTTTAGTCCGCCATATTTGTGTATCTGTGTCTAAAACATCATTTCCGTGTCTGTTCACGCCGTGTTGTACCAAATGGTGGACAGCGTTTTCTCTTATATCTAAAGGCTCCGACAAACTTTGAATAACTAATGAATTAGAAATTTTATCAACCACATGTATACATGATTCTTCGGACAATATGCGATAGCGAAATCGGAGGCAACGTAATGACAATACTACTGTGTACAGTGACAGGACAATCTCGCTAACCACTAATGCGCCATTTTCGTGAAATTCTTTGATCTACTTTGGAAGAAAAGTGCGACTTGATGTGGGCACCTACATTGTACCAATGAACTGTGACGTTTTGGGAGTATTGCGGCATCGGAAATAGAATGTTCTTGCGCCTGGACAACAGGGAGCCAGGCATAAAATTAATTTATCGTTGCCAATTTCATTTCCTCTTGAGTACGAATGCCTTAAAATGCATATCCAAGTAAAATTGCACATAATTGACCAGCGTGAAGTACATAAAATTATGTTTATATGGTTCGTTCACCGCGTGCCGATTAGATTACCGGATTTTCAAACACTAAACATTTATTGTACAGTTGTGTATCACAAACTATCTACAGACACTTTAGTATAACTTTGTTAGTGATCAGAATAGCAATGCCATCTATTTGATGAGTCACATAATGACAATATTACGTAATAATTCCGCAGTTAAAAGAACCCTTTGATCGCTGCCTTCGTGACACTTCCTGTGTCAATGGATGTTTATGCCTTCTCCTTCAGCAGACTGCTGACAAAACACGGAAGGTATGGAGCGGTCGTGTATATTGAAGTCTTACGGAGGCGAGCCAGTATCCGACAGCGATGGACAGAGAATCCCTCTTTGTTTCTAGCTACCACGAGTTAATGTACGGCCTAGCTGTAGGAGTGAAGACGTATAGTGATGTCCGGCAGTCGTTTATTGGCTTTTGCTTCCAAAACCTGTCATTCGCTTTCCACACAGTCGCCGTTTCCCGAACTTTACATCTATATATAGCGACGCTTGTCGACACAAAAGATGCACATCCGATCGGAACATAATTATTCTAGTATTTACTGCGGTCGAACGTTCTCTATTTCTCCATAAATATATAAATATAGATTGGAGCATGATACTCCAGCTGTGATCAGTATTTTGAACTTCAGGTCTTTATAACAGAATTTACCTATTAAAGGACATGCCTTCTTTTAACAACCTGGCCAGTCTGCCTCCCATCCTCAGTCGCCTTCTTGGCATTAAACCCTTAGCATCACCGACGAGTCTTGAAAGGACGGACAGCTGTAGAGTGCATGTTAATTCATTGCTTGGCGCTACTGTATCTCTCTCTAAATTTGTATCAGAACGTGTTACTGACTTATGTCTCTTTTGTACAATCCGAGATCTGGAGAAGATAAAATATTGTTTTCTAATGAGTCTGACTATTTGCCATTTTAAGCCGATCCATCGATTTCTTGTCACTTATTTTCGGCAAAGGCACAGAAATATCATGATCAATTGCATACTAGTGTTTACCTATTCGCTCTACGCTAACATAAACACAGGAACTGCTCAGTATGCCAAAACCAACTTCAACTTAGCAAATACAAGAGATAAACGTGATGGCGTGCCATTAAGCCAAGAGTTTACGACAATAATCCATTCCACTACTGGTGTTCCATTGGCACAAAGCAAGACTAAAACCATACACTATGGAAACTATAAATTAATACACGACAAAACGACAATGTGACAAAAAAGGGTGAATTTCAGAGGTGTTTTCTTCAATATTTCCTTAACCTTTATCCCACTGCTTTTTCTGTGTTTCAGTGTCCGAAATGATTCCAGTCTTTTGACTTTGTACTAGATTCCTCGGGTTTTCCTACTTCATTGTCGAGAGGGGTCAGAGTGGTATATTCTATAGGTCTATCAGATCAGTTCTCTATATATAGACAGTTTGTATAATGTATCGCTTCATCATTTTTATAGAATACATGGTATATATGGGGATTTATTTTTAATACCTGGATTCCCTTTGATATAATTCATATTTCACGAGTATGACAGAATATCTATTTTATCAAGAGTACCTTACACGAATGAAAAATTACGACATATTTTGTCATGCGAAATATACATAATATATTAACCGGATATAACAAAGTCTTCTTATTTATTGCATTTGAAAGAAAACCAAATAGAAAAATATTGGCGCGTTCGTTGTCATCCGGTCCCGGTTGTTCAAAGGCCGGTTACAGATAACCAGTGATCAGTGAATGAAACAAAACTTGGAAACATTCTTTATCTTTTCACAGCTGTTGGCTGGTTCTATAATTAGCTGATATGTTCAAATTACGATATTTATTTAAACCTCCCCATTTTTTTGTTTTTGTTTTTTTGTTTTGTTTTTGTTTGTTTTTGTTTTACACTTTTTTCAATCACTTTGAATTTTCCTCAGTTGCCTCATAGGCTTCCCAATTTAGGCTCTTAGCATCACTGACGAATCCAAGAAGGACAATGTATGATGCAGTATATTTAATTGTTTGGCTCTACTATATCGAACTCTGAACTTGTATTAAAAGGTGCTTTTCATTTGTGTGTCTTTTGTAAAATTTTGAGATACGCAAGACTTAGACTTTTATTTTTTTTTAATTTTGCATCTAACACTCTTGTTTGCTCACTGGCAACAATTTGATTTTTTCGCGAAGCACAAGTTTAACGGGGGCTTGGTAATTTGACATTAAGCTTGACAATCATTTTATCAAAGGGCTCTGATTTTACGATATTTTTATCACAGCAGCTATCACAAATTTGTATATTTTATCACAGGGATGTTTGTATATTTTATCATAGGGAGTTTGTATATTTTATCACAGGGAGTCTGTATATTTTATCACAGGGTGTTTGTATATTTTATCACAGGGAGTTTGTATATTTTATCACAGGGAGTTTGTATATTTTATCACAGGGAGTTTGTATATTTTATCACAGGGAGTTTGTATATTTTATCACAGGGAGTTTGTATATTTTATCACAGGGAGTTTGTATATTTTATCACAGGGAGTTTGTATATTTTATCAAAGGGAGTTTGTATATTTTATCACAAGGAGTTTATCACATGAAGTTTGTATATTTTATCACGGGGATTTTGTATATTTTATCACAGGGAGTTTGTATATTTTATCACAGGGAGTTGTATATTTTATCACATGAAGTTTGTATATTTTATCACAGGGAGTTTGTATATTTTATCACAGGGAGTTTGTATATTTTATCACAGGGAGTTTGTATATTTTATCACAGGGAGTTTGTATATTTTATCACGGGGAGTTTGTATATTTTATCACAGGGAGTTTGTATATTTTATCACAGGGAGTTTGTATATTTTATCACAGGGAGTTTGTATATTTTATCACAGAGTTTGTATATTTTATCACAGGGAGTTTGTATATTTTATCACAGGGAGTTTGTATATTTTATCACAGGGAGTTTGTATATTTTATCACAGGGAGTTTGTATATTTTATCACAGGGAGTTTGTATATTTTATCACAGGGAGTTTGTATATTTTATCACAGGGAGTTTGTATATTTTATCACAGGGAGTTTGTATATTTTATCACAGGGAGTTTGTATATTTTATCACAGGGAGTTTGTATATTTTATCACAGGGAGTTTGTATATTTTATCACGGGGAGTTTGTATATTTTATCACAGGGAGTTTGTATATTTTATCACATGAAGTTTGTATATTTTATCACAGGGAGTTTGTATATTTTATCACAGGGAGTTTGTATATTTTATCACAAGGAGTTTATAAAATGAAGAAAATATATTTTATCACATGAAGTTTGTATATTTTATCACAGGGATTTTGTATATTTTATCACAGGGATTTTGTATATTTTATCACAGGGAGTTTGTATATTTTATCACAGGGAGTTTGTATATTTTATCACAGGGAGTTTGTATATTTTATCACAGGGAGTTTGTATATTTTATCACAGGGAGTTTGTATATTTTATCACAGGGAGTTTGTATATTTTATCACAGGGAGTTTGTATATTTTATCACAGGGAGTTTGTATATTTTATCACAGGGAGTTTGTATATTTTATCACAGGGAGTTTGTATATTTTATCACAGGGAGTTTGTATATTTTATCACAGGGAGTCTGTATATTTCATCACGGGGTGTTTGTATATTTTATCACAGGGAGTTTGTATATTTTATCACAGGGAGTTTGTATATTTTATCACAGGGAGTTTGTATATTTTATCACAGGGAGTTTGTATATTTTATCACAGGGAGTTTGTATATTTTATCACGGGGAGTTTGTATATTTTATCACAGGGAGTTTGTATATTTTATCACGGGGAGTTTGTATGTTTTATCACAGGGAGTTTGTATATTTTATCACAGGGAGTCTGTATATTTTATCACAGGGAGTTTGTATATTTTATCACAGGGAGTTTGTATATTTTATCACAGGGAGTTTGTATGTTTTATCACAGGGAGTTTGTATGTTTTATCACAGGGAGTTGGTATATTTTATCACAGGGAATTTGTATATTTTATCACAGGGAGTTTGTATATTTTATCACAGGGAGTTTGTATATTTTATCACAGGGAGTTTGTATATTTTATCACAGGGAGTTTGTATATTTTATCACAGGGAGTTTGTATATTTTATCACATGAAGTTTGTATATTTTATCACAGGGAGTTTGTATATTTTATCACGGGGAGTTTGTATATTTTATCACAGGGAGTTTGTATATTTTATCACAGGGAGTTTGTATATTTTATCACAGGGAGTTTGTATATTTTATCACAGGGAGTTTGTATATTTTATCACAGGGAGTTTGTATATTTCATCACGGGGTGTTTGTATATTTTATCACAGGGAGTTTGTATATTTTATCACAGGGAGTTTGTATATTTTATCACAGGGAGTTTGTATATTTTATCACAGGGAGTTTGTATATTTTATCACAGGGAGTCTGTATATTTTATCACAGGGAGTTTGTATATTTTATCACAGGGAGTTTGTATATTTTATCACAGGGAGTTTGTATATTTTATCACAGGGAGTTTGTATATTTTATCACAGGGAGTTTGTATATTTTATCACAGGGAGTTTGTATATTTTATCACAGGGTGTTTGTATATTTTATCACAGGGAGTTTGTATATTTTATCACAGGGAGTTTGTATATTTTATCACAGGGAGTTTGTATATTTTATCACAGGGAGTTTGTATATTTTATCACAGGGAGTTTGTATATTTTATCACAGGGAGTTTGTATATTTTATCACGGGGAGTTTGTATATTTTATCACGGGGAGTTTGTATATTTTATCACAGGGAGTTTGTATATTTTATCACAGGGAGTTTGTATATTTTATCACAGGGAGTTTGTATATTTTATCACAGGGAGTTTGTATATTTTATCACAGGGAGTTTGTATATTTTATCACAGGGAGTTTGTATATTTTATCACAGGGAGTTTGTATATTTTATCACAGGGAGTTTGTATATTTTATCACATGAAGTTTGTATATTTTATCACAGGGAGTTTGTATATTTTATCACAGGGAGTTTGTATATTTTATCACAGGGAGTTTGTATATTTTATCACAGGGAGTTTGTATATTTTATCACAGGGAGTTTGTATATTTTATCACAGGGAGTTTGTATATTTTATCATAGGGAGTCTGTATATTTTATCACAGGGAGTTTGTATATTTTATCACAGGGAGTTTGTATATTTTATCACAGGGAGTTTGTATATTTTATCACAGGGAGTTTGTATATTTTATCACAGGGAGTTTGTATATTTTATCATCACAGGGAGTTTGTATATTTTATCACAGGGAGTTTGTATATTTTATCACATGGTATATTTTATCACAGGGAGTTTGTATATTTTATCACAGGGATTTTGTATATTTTATCACAGGGAGTTTGTATATTTTATCACAGGGAGTTTGTATATTTTATCACAGGGAGTTTGTATATTTTATCACAGGGAGTTTGTATATTTTATCACAGGGAGTTTGTATATTTTATCACAGGGAGTTTGTATATTTTATCACAGGGAGTTTGTATATTTTATCACAGGGAGTTTGTATATTTTATCACATGGAATTTGTATATTTTATCAAAGGGATTTTGTATATTTTATCACAGGGAGTCTGTATATTTTATCACAGGGAGTTTGTATATTTTATCACAGGGAGTTTGTATATTTTATCACAGGGAGTTTGTATATTTTATCACAGGGAGTTTGTATATTTTATCACAGGGAGTTTGTATATTTTATCACAGGGAGTTTGTATATTTTATCACAGGGAGTTTGTATATTTTATCACAGGGTGTTTGTGTTTGTATATTTTATCACAGGGAGTTTGTATATTTTATCACAGGGAGTTTGTATATTTTATCACAGGGAGTTTGTATATTTTATCACAGGGAGTTTGTATATTTTATCACAGGGAGTTTGTATATTTTATCACAGGGAGTTTGTATATTTTATCACAGGGAGTTTGTATATTTTATCACAGGGAGTTTGTATATTTTATCACAGGGAGTTTGTATATTTTATCACAGGGAGTTTGTATATTTTATCACAGGGAGTTTGTATATTTTATCACAGGGAGTTTGTATATTTTATCACAGGGAGTTTGTATATTTTATCACAGGGAGTTTGTATATTTTATCACAGGGAGTTTGTATATTTTATCACAGGGAGTTTGTATATTTCATCACGGGGTGTTTGTATATTTTATCACAGGGAGTCTGTATATTTTATCACAGGGATTTTGAATATTTTATCACAGGGAGTTTGTATATTTCATCACAGGGTGTTTGTATATTTTATCACAGGGAGTTTGTATATTTTATCACAGGGAGTTTGTATATTTTATCACAGGGAGTTTGTATATTTTATCACAGGGAGTTTGTATATTTTATCACAGGGAGTTTGTATATTTTATCACAGGGAGTTTGTATATTTTATCACAGGGAGTTTGTATATTTTATCACAGGGAGTTTGTGTATTTTATCACAGGGAGTCTGTATATTTTATCACAGGGAGTTTGTATGTTTTATCACAGGGAGTTTGTATATTTCATCACGGGGAGTTTGTATATTTTATCACAGGGATTTTGTATATTTTATCACAAGGAGTTTATCACATGAAGTTTGTATATTTTATCACGGGGAGTTTGTATATTTTATCACAGGGATTTTGTATATTTTATCACAGGGAGTTTGTATATTTTATCACAGGGAGTTCACAGGGAGTTTGTATATTTTATCACAGGGAGTCTGTATATTTTATCACAGGGAGTTTGTATATTTTATCACGGGGAGTTTGTATATTTTATCACGGGGAGTTTGTATGTTTTATCACAGGGAGTTTGTATATTTTATCACAGGGAGTTTGTATATTTTATCACAGGGAGTTTGTATATTTTATCACATGGAATTTGTATATTTTATCAAAGGGATTTTGTATATTTTATCACAGGGAGTTTGTATATTTTATCACGGGGTGTTTGTATATTTTATCACAGAGTTTGTATATTTTATCACAGGGAGTTTGTATATTTTATCACAGGGAGTTTGTATATTTTATCACAGAGTTTGTATATTTTATCACAGGGAGTCTGTATATTTTATCATAGGGAGTTTGTATATTTTATCACAGGGAGTCTGTATATTTTATCACAGGGAGTTTGTATATTTTATCACAGGGAGTTTGTATATTTTATCACAGGGATTTTGTATATTTTATCACAGGGAGTTTGTATATTTTATCACAGGGAGTTTGTATATTTTATCACAGGGTGTTTGTATATTTTATCACAGGGATTTAATAACAAGTATAATCTTATTGTAAAATTTTACAAATCGACTTTTTTTTTAAATCGTAGGAAGTTTGCCACCAACCAGCCTATTCAGATGCACATAGACACAGACGCGTGCCATGGCAGTGACAACGAGATCAACTACCTGGAGCACGTGCAGGCGTTCGTAACGCTTAAGTCCACATACAGAGGAAATGTCGTCATCTTCATTACGTCACCAATGAACACTACGTAAGATCGCACTTCTTCAGTTTGCTTCGTTTCGTCAAAAATACCAAAAATTTATACCAAATTGAAACCAATGATAAGTAAAAATGTTAATATGGAGACAACCAAAACTGCCGTATGAGATATAACAAGAATAGGATAAACAACACGAGTACAATAATACAAATTAACTGATAATATTTTGTATAGTAATTTCTATTCTTTTGTAGGTTTAACTATTTATTTTCTTTATCGCAGTAAGAGTTTTACTTTTTTACGAAGCTGGTAGAATTGAGTTCGGATTGTTGATAACTACCATTATTATTATAACTATTTTGTTTGTATGTGTTTTTTTAATCAAAGTATATGAAACGACGCTATAATAGAAGGTACATAACGTTATACACACTATACGTGTATATGTACATACAATTTTACAATGATGATTTTTTTCTCGTAGCTCGATGATCCTGAGCCAGAGACCTAATGATGACGACCACAAGAATGGGTTCACTCGCTGGCCCTTCATGACAACACACACCTGGGCTGAGAACCCTCATGGGCGCTGGAAGCTTGAGATCACACTCGTACCTGGTAAGAACACCAACGTAGACACGGGAACTTTCTTTGAATGGACCTTAATTTTCCATGGAACTCGCAACGCCCCCTACAAAAACCAGATTGCAGACGAGATGAATCATGGGAAGCTGTTCAAGGTCAAAAGAATCCACCAGGAGAAAGCTTGAGAATCTTGTGACAAGGGAGGACATTATTTATCAGTTAAATCCAAAACGAGATATGTCATGTTTTAATAGAAAGTTATCATTTAAATATTCAAAACAATAAGATAATTGTTAACCTTTAATGGATTTATAAAATTTGAAATGTAATTAAAACGTTTCAATATATATTTAACTCGGAATCGGAAAAAATGCATATTGATATGTTAAAGTATTATTATATTGTATAAATGAGAGAAGAAAACATTATCATTTCACGTACACCAAACACGTATTGCTACTCGAAGCATATAGAACGGATATATATTTTTATATTAAAAGTGCAAAGTATGCAATTATTTTGGAAGTTTTATTAAAATGACTGAACCGCTTCGAGAACCAATATTTGCTTTGTGTCGTTATAATCGACCCTAATGGAAATGCATTCCAGAATGAAATTTCCGTCGAGTTTCTATTGATGGAAAATGATTGGAATTGCATGGATAATCGGTCCACACTTGCAGACTTCTTACCTAGTAAAGTATGTTTGGACGTGGGCCTGATTATGTTTAGGCCTCTACCGAGACACACATATTATAGTGATCAAATGTTAATACAATTATCTGGCAGTAAATATATGTAGTCTTCCACGCAACTGAAGTCAGACTTCCTCGTTTGGGTGGATCTTTGTGCTGGTAACTTTATGTGTTTCGGTAGAATTCTAACTTACCTATTTTAAGACAAATAGACAGATATCTTTATTCAATTTACAAATACTTTATCACTTATTACAAAACGGTAGTCAATGCATTACAGGACTTATTGTTTCACTTACTCACTGAACTACACGAGTTATTGTTTAGTCTACTCGGTACACTACAGTAGTTATTGTTTAGTCTACTCGGTACGCTACAGTAGTTATTGGTTAGTCTATTCGGTACACTACGGTTTTTATTGTTTAGTCTACTCGGTACACTACAGTAGTTATTGTTTAGTCTACTCGGTACACTACAGTAGTTATTGTTTAGTCTACTCGGTACACTACACGGTAGTTTAGATTATTTGGTACAATATCAGTACCTACTTTTTAGCCTACCTATTTCAGCAGTTGTATTTAATCTAACTACTCCATGTATCACGAAAATTATTCTTTGATATTTAATTGACTATTCGGTAAACTTCAGTATTTATCGTTTATCTACCTGTTAACGGTACTCTGGTTGTGCTCCATGAACGAAGTTTGTCACTCGTACAGTCTGCTGCGTGGCATGATTGACTTTGTAAGTTTCTCTATTTTCTATAGTTGCCACCGCTCATATCATTTACCTAACCTTAAACACTGTGTTATTGTGCCAGAAGTACGACCTAGCAATTTAACTGAACAGTAAAAAGGTGATATTTGGACTTTTTGAAGCACCAATCTCAGTGGGAGCTTGCACTATGACACAACACGCATTCTTCGTGGAGATGGTTAATAAAATAGCATAAAAGATTAGGACCATCTTTGCTTTTCACAAGTTTTAAGTCCTTCATCGTTGTAGCGATGTGCGTAGTGATCTCTTAGTGTTGTTCGTCCCAGTTCTTTACACATAGTCATAAAATTTCTGGGATTCAGAATAAATTATTTCTCTTTTGAAATTGATTATTAAATAGTAAAGCAACACAAATGCTGATTGGTGTGTAATATTGTATGTTACCAGCTAAGACTTATGTATGTTATTGTAAGATCGATTTCATACTTAAGATACATCTGTAAGTTACCAGTTAAGACTGATGTATGTTACTGTATGATTGATTTCATACTAAAGTTATCCGTTAATATTTTGGGGAAAGATTGTCTCTAGGAAAGGAACATGATGACATACTATGAACGTGATATCTCTAATCACGACAGCAGAAAAACCATTCTCTGCGATGTCTTTCATTGAAAAGACACCCCACCTTCACCCCCTCCCCACCCCCCTAAAATCATTGAAGTAGTTTAAGGAAATTCCTTTAAATGCTTAACATAATTGCAATGTGTATGTGTGCAATAACAGCATACACGATCCTGACATCTTGGAAAGGACAAATTATTTTTGTCTGGACGAGCATGGCTCCACAAAGGAGGTGATATTGAAGTTATAGGATACCTTTACAAGCACGGCGCTTTGTGACAGAAGTACATAGCCATTTGATGATTTTATTGACATGATAAACTCGGAGACCTGACCCTATCATGTCCTTTATTTGACTTTGATCACACAAAAATTACATAATCATAGCTAGCAAATCATTGGTCATCTTTGATAATCACGGTCATCGTCAGGATTATCAATATCATTCGTTAGCGTGTGAAAACAGTATTGGCTACATCAAGATCTAATTTTAGTAACGCTTCATTACCCATGAAATATTGTCATTACCATCAACTTAAAAATGTTGATGTTTCGGAAGCAAACTATCGATTAACGGCTATATTCTAAAATGATATACTTGTAAATATACAGTTTGGATTAGAGCATTGTTTGTGCTCCAGTATAGAATGTGATATTATCTTTATCTCGCATTTCATTGTCGACATGTTTTCCGTTGTTCTATTTTGTGATGAAAATTAAGATACAATTTATTTATCTACACAGCTATAATGCAACGATATTCTAGTGTCAATGACTCGCCTCAAACACAACACTTGATAACTTTAAACGTCATTTTCCAGTCGTTATATGATACTGTCATTATATTATAGTATTCTGTAGGCTTGTTAGGTAACAGTAGCTCTTGGTAAGAAAAACAAAACATAATTATTCTTGATATGTTAAATAGAGTCCTTTCCGAATCCACGGTTTTGGGCAGGGGCTCTAATGTTTGTCATATTTAAGTTTTATTAGAATTACAGACTACAACTCAAGCGTGGAATCCATGATTTATTTTCGGATGTTTTACACATAGAGTCCGTATTTTCTGTAATGGCAACCGTTTCCATAGTCTTCTGTGATCAGAAGTTTATTTAGCACCAGTAAAGTATAAAACTTAATCGAACACAGCACATACGGACGGGGTATAGGAAATATGTGTTTTCAAAGCTTTAACAAGTTAGTGAAAGCAATATGTTTGCATTATAGCTGTGTATAATTGTGTTAAAGTGTTATCGTATATAGTGTTGAACTGGAAGACAGAAATGGCTATATAAGACTTGGCCAGTATTCTGATTAAAGATTCACCGGACCTTTCGAATCATTTTAATCAACTGAAATCAAGATTGCATCTTTTGAAATTCTAATTTCCATCAACATAAATATGTTATAGATGATTTTCTGATATGTCAATGAACTATATAATAGCATCTCTAAAATTATTTTGAAGTAAATTGTGGATCTAAAATTGTCGTTCATGTTGAAACAGCTACTATGATCGACTCTGAACTAGATATAAAGAATGGTAATTACACAATAAAAGTATATTTTGTTGATTTATTTGAGAATATCCCAACTGTTGTAATGTTATGTTGCAAATAAAGTTCGGCCAAAGTGTCCATATGTTGTTTCTTCTTAATTTGTAATATTGACTTTTACTAAAACATGTTCAAGGTCAAGTATCCATGGTTTGTTACCTTTTTTAAACTGACGTCAAAGCGTCTCAGGTTCGCCTCTTGTTATTTGTAAAACACTGCATCTCTGGTCAGCCTGCTGGATTTTATAAAACACTGACGACCAAGAATCTCTGGTCAGCCTGATGGATTATATAAAACACTGACGACCAAGTTTCTCTTGTCAGCCTGCTGGATTATATAAAACACTGACGACCAAGCATCTCTGGTCAGCCTGCTGGATTATATAAAACACTAACGACCAAGCATCCCTGGTCAGCCTGCTGGATTATGTAAAACACTGACGACCAAACATCCCTGGTCAGCCTGCTGGATTAGATAAAACATTGACGACCAAGAATCTCTGGTCAGCCTGCTGGATTATATAAAACACTGACGACCAAGCATCCCTGGTCAGCCTGCTGGATTATATAAAACACTGACGACCAAGAATCCCTGGTCAGCCTGCTGGATTATATAAAACACTGACGACCAAGAATCCCTGGTCAGCCTGCTGGATTATATAAAACACTGACGACCAAGCATCCCTGGTCAGCCTGCTGGATTATATAAAACACTGACGACCAAACATCCCTGGTCAGCCTGCTGGATTACATAAAACACTGACGACCAAGAATCCCTGGTCAGCCTGCTGGATTATATAAAACACTGACGACCAAGCATCCCTGGTCAGCCTGCTGGATTAGATAAAACATTGACGACCAAGAATCCCTGGTCAGCCTGCTGGGTTATGTAAAACACTGACGACCAAACATCCCTGGTCAGCCTGCTGGATTAGATAAAACATTGACGACCAAGAATCCCTGGTCAGCCTGCTGGATTATATAAAACATTGACGACCAAGAATCCCTGGTCAGCCTGCTGGATTTAATTAAACACAATCGAATCAGATAAACCTTAATCTTGATTACTGGACTGAATAATTAATGAGATAACATTTTGAACAGTCTCAGTGATATTTAAAATACCGATATACATTTTTTTCAAAGCTGCTATAGATGTCATTGTGGGAAACAGCTAAGATAGGAAATTCCTCTTTTTCAGAAGTTTTGAGTGAAAAATATTTATCGAAGTAGGTACGATAAATCGTCTGTTATGACCTTAATTAACAGTATTTATATCCAGGCACAGCTGAAAAAATAGAGACATTGTCCCCGTATTGAACCAGTAATTATCCAGGTTTGTTCTACCTAAACTGTTCGACCATACTACATAGATACTTAAGACGTATACAGGTTATATTTCATCTCTAGGGATTTCTATTTGATATCTTAGCATTAGATTATTGTTGTGTAGGGTTTTTCTTGAAAATAAATGCAATTTACGCAGTAGAACCAAATAACAAAACTACATTTGTGCTGAAAAAACAGAAGACTAATTAGGTTTTGAATAAGTGAATCCTTAATGTATAGATAGTCATGCGAAGTTTAACCCGTCTATCTGTAAGTAAAAACATCCTTCCCTCTTTTATAATGTCAGCAGTTTATAATGTTTAAAGAGAAAATATTGTAAATAAGAACGTCCTCACTTTATACCCTATGTCAACACTTTGATGTATCTTATCATCGTCACAAATGGAACAATCGTCAATTGCTTCAGTTATCTCGATATAAAAGTGATTTTATTTGACGTCAATGCGTTCTCTTATCTTATAAATATGCATGAGAGCAAATGCTGCCTATTTGAACAATGTTGTGTCGATTCAAGATAAAGGAAGGATTATAATGACGGAGAAAGCATTCCTCCAGAGAGCTGGAAACACTTGAGCAGGTTAATACAACTGATCTGGTCGATAGCCTTCCCCGACAGAGACGCGAACGGAAAGCGCCTCGAAATCAAGCAGACACGTCCACCATTCGGCTTTCAATACCAACTTAAATGAGAATATGACGGACGATGTATGGCATTGTATTCTGGACAATGGAGAATGTACGAGGACGGTCGGTTTGTTGATGGGTGTAGAAGACATTAGCCATATCAACCAGACAAAGCACTGTTGGGGACATTACTAATGGGTCACCGATCATATAATCTCACAGAGGGCGACTTTGGACGGCACGAACAAAAACGTAGTTCCAGAAATGAATGATCCCATTCCATAGCGCGAAGATGGTGTGATATCTTTGAGCAACAGTCTGACGTCTATGTGTTTTCTTTCATTTGTGTTCTGTATTAATCGTTCACCCAGGAAACTTGTATTGGTGGATGTTCGAGATATTGGTCCTCATTTAGACCGAAATATTACTGATGAAAAATTCCTGAACAGACACAGTCCACCGTCATCTGTAGAACAAAGTGATTTTTACAGAAAATATAATATTATTTAACCTTTGTCATTGTCACCAACAGGTTGCAGCTTGTCGTCTGTTCATGTCCATTGGTCTTTAGCGTGAACATTCCTTTTAACTTTAATTACTGTGTACGTGTTGTCTAGACACATTCTAGGTTTGTTCTGTGGTAATGAACCATTATCCATGTTGTTTCAAAAAGATCTTTTTGATGAATTAGAAGCGATTTTCCTCGAGAATACACAGCCATCCATGAAGACAGAGAGGACGTGAAGGAGCTTTTTGCATGATAGCTAAAATAACAGATTGGGTTTGAAGCAGTAACACGACCTTCCCCCAGTAATTTGAAATGTCGATAGCAATTGTGCGAATGAAATATCAAATTGCTCAACACATTTAATAAATTCCGTACAAGATTCCATTTATCATTTAGGCAGTATTTCTGGAAAAAAATCAGCGAAACCATTAAATTAATTTCCCTATAATACGTGTGATGTGGACTGTATGTTTACACTACCGCGAGACAATCATGTGACGTCATCAAAACGTGACTTAAAAACTATTTATGACGTCACAATAGCGTTATTACGCGCGTGTCTTCCGACATTTATGACGTCACCATATGATATTACAACATGCCAGTGATGTGATAAAAATCACTATCTGCCATTATACCAAGGTATATATAATTACCCTCTCATGAAATTATCTTACATCACTTTCCCCTATATCATCCAGATAATGACACCCTCGTAACGAGGTATTTCCTCGTCCCGGAAGCTTCCCCTTCATCACAACCAGGTAATCAGTCTCATGAAGAGATACTACGCCGTCCCTCCCTATCGCTGTCAACTAGTATACTCATCGCGAACCAGAGCGTGTAGGGAGATCGTGGCGTTGTCCATCTAGCAATAGGTCACTAAGTTATAGGCGATTGATTGTATGTCATCACCAATCGCGTGACGTGGCCAGTAATGTGTGATGAAAGATGTACCACGTGATGAAGGTTGACCGCTATAAGCTATGGATGACATTTGTGTGATCACCATTGACTGTTAACAACCTGTTAGCAGTAATTAGTGTTAACATGCTTCTTGCGCTCACTAATGAGTGATGTTAACAAACGTGGTACTCTCAGTATTGAGTGTTAAAAGGCGTGGTGCGCCCACTAGTGATTGTTAAAAGCCGTGGTGCGCCCAGTAGTGAGTGTTAAAAGGTGTGGTGCGCCCACTAGTGAGTGTTAAAAGGTGTGGTGCGCCCACTAGTGAGTGTTAAAAGGCGTGGTGCGCCCAGTAATGAATATTAAAAGGCGTAGTGCGCTCAATAGTGAGTGTTAAAATGTGTGGTGCACACAGTAATGAGTATTAAAAGTCGTGGTGCGCCCACTAGTAAGTGTTAAAAGGCGTGGTGCGCCCACTAGTGAGTGTTAAAAGACGTGGTGCGCCCAGTAATGAGTATTAAAAGGCGTGGTGCGCCCAGTAGTGAGTGTTAAAAGGCGTGGTGCGCCCAGTAATGAATGTTAAATGATGTAGTGCGCTCAGTAATTGCAAATTATGAGATTGGTGATTACTTGACTGAACACCAATAGTTAAACCCACGATACGCTGTCCTAGACAATTAGTCAATATCACAACCATGACAGCACAGGGCGGTGCAGTCGGTAATTAGACAGTCAGTGTGCCTAATACACACAAACTGTATCATAAATGTATTTTCAAGCAACAAAGTTTCCGTGAATTACGTCAATTACAATATTAATTAATATTTTAGGATTTAATTTTTAAATATGGGTAACTGTTACACGTTAAAATACACATATTATATTCAGATTGCGAACATAACATATTTTAAATGGCTGCCACTCCTGAAGATGGAGCTTAGTAGTAGGGTCGGCCTAGTTCGCCCCGCTAATGGAGTTATCCTTCTTGCCTGTCAGAACCATTAATCGCCTGCTGATTTTTGTCACATTCGCTGTTGTCTGTCTGAGCACTTAGAATGAAAGGGTGGTCTTTGATGGCGAAGACATTCGGTCGTTTCTTGACGTTAACCTCCAATAGTTTGTAGATTAAGTCCTTCACATTTACCGATAACTTCTTGCCTTTGGAGAACCCGATCCTCTTTTCCAGTTGTTGACTGACCATCTTTTTTATATTGGAGTCGTCGTAAGGCATGGATGCGCAAACCTACAGCAGACGGAAAGGGGAACGATATGGAAATGTGAAAACCTACAGCAGACGGAAAGGGGAACGTTATGGAAATGTGAATACCTACAGCAGACGGAAAGGGGAACGTTATGGAAATGTGAATACCTACAGCAGACGGAAAGGGGGACGTTATGGAAATGTGAATACCTACAGCAGACGGAAAGGGGGACGTTATGGAAATGTGAATACCTACAGCAGACGGAAAGGGGGACGTTATGGAAATGTGAATACCTACAGCAGACGGAAAGGGAACGCTATGGAAATGTGAATACCTACAGCAGACGGAAAGGGGGACGCTATGGAAATGTGAATACCTACAGCAGACGGAAATGGGAACGTTATGGAAATGTGAATACCTACAGCAGACGGAAAGGGGGACGCTATGGAAATGTGAATACCTACAGCAGACGGAAAGGGGAACGTTATGGAAATGTGAATACCTACAGCAGACGGAAAGGGGGACGTTATGGAAATGTGAATACCTACAGCAGACTGTAAAGGGAACGTTATGGAAATGTGAATACCTACAGCAGACGGAAAGGGGGACGCTATGGAAATGTGAATGCCTACAGCAGACGGAAAGGGGAACGTTATGGAAATGTGAATACCTACAGCAGACGGTAAGGGGAACGTTATGGAAATGTGAATACCTACAGCAGACGGTAAGGGAAACGTTATGGAAATGTAAAGATCTACAGCAGACGGTAAGGGGAACATTAATGAAATGTGAATACTTACAGCAGATGGTAAGGGGAACGTTATGGAAATGTGAATGCCTAAAGCAGACGGTAAGGGGAACGTTATGGAAATGTGAATGCCTAAAGCAGACGGTAAGGGGAACATTAATGAAATGTGAATAACTACAGCAGACGGTAAGGGGAACGATATGGAAATGTGAATGCCTACAGCAGACGGTAAGGGGAACGTTATGGAAATGTGAATGCCTACAGCAGATGGTAAGGGGAACGTTATGGAAATGTGAATGCCTACAGCAGATGGTAAGGGGAACGTTATGGAAATGTGAAGATCTACAGCAGACGGTAAGGGGAACATTAATGAAATGTGAATACTTACAGCAGACGGTAACGGAAACGTTATGGAAATGTGAATGTCTACAGCAGACGGAAAGGGGGACGTTATGGAAATGTGAATACTTACAGCAGACGGTAAGGGGAACGTTATGGAAATGTGAATGCCTAAAGCAGACGGTAAGGGGAACGTTATGGAAATGTGAATGCCTAAAGCAGACGGTAAGGGGAACGTAATGGAAATGTTAATACCTACAGCAGACGGTAAGGTTATGGAAATGTGAATGCCTACAGCAGATGGTAAGGGGGGCGTTATAGAAAGGTGTATACCTACAGCAGACGGTAAGGCGGACGTTATAGAAAGGTGTGTACCAACAGCAGATGGTAAGGGGGACGTTATAGAAAGGTGTATACCTACAGCAGACGGTAAGGTGGACGTTATAGAAAGGTTTATACATACAGCAAACGGTAAGGGGGACGTTATAGAAAGGTGTATACCTACAAACAGGTTTTGAAAACCTTACCATGATATAGAGAATAATGCCCATGCTCCACACGTCATGTGATGGAAGATGATATGGAATTCCTTGGAGAACCTCCGGAGCTGCGTACGCCGCACTTCCACAAAATGTTTTGCTGACGTCGGAAGGTTCGAAGCAACGAGCAAATCCAAAATCGGATATTTTTATGTTATTCATACAGTCAAGGAGAAGGTTTTCACATTTCATATCTCTGAAAATAGAAAAAAAATAAATACTGAAAAAAAAAGAAAAATAAGTACGGCTTCACTGGGTTTCTACTTTAAAAATGATTAGATCAGACTTTATAAAACGACACCCAAGCATGTTGAAGCATTACATTGGCTTCCATGCTGACAGGCTTCATCGCTAGAAAAAAGACTTGTGAAAGACTTTTTATATCAAATGCAGAAACGGAAAAAATATTGAAGAATACTAATGATAATTTTATTTAAATGCGTCCTGTAGCCGTTATTATAGATACAATATTAATAAGGGACAACGTATTAACCAATATACATCTACATTGACCAGTATTAGAAGCCGTCTGACCTGTGGACTATTTTCCTTTCGTGGAGATAGGTCATGGCGTTGACAATTTGTGTGAACATGACTTGTGCACGATCTTCCTGTAATGCTCCGCGGAGTTTGATATACTCCAAAAGGTCCCCGTGGCCTGCATACTCCATCATAATAAACACCTGTAATATCGGGATATATTATAACTTCAGTATTTGACGCCGTAAAAACTTCTAGCTTCTGAAGGGGTTTTTTGTTATACATTTTACAATATAAAAACATTTGATTTGTGCTACCAATAAATGATAAGTCAAAGAATACAACATACATAGATATGCTTATTTCACTTTTTATTGCTTTCTGTCCTGACTATAAACAAAACGAAATATTATTAGCCAACATGTTCCTATCAATATCAAGGTCTGCCCCGTCAAAACTTTTAGAGATTCTTCCTGTTTCAGTAGTGAAAGAGATTCACTTTCCAATAGTTATGGAACCTACAGACATCATTACTGTTATCTGAGATGAGTAGTGAACCAAAGAGCAGCGAAATCTCAGGAGCCTGATACTATCTAACCTACATAATCAATAAAACTCGCCACTGTTATAAAACTAACTTTTTTTCAATTTTTAGTTTATATCCCTTTGACCCTAAAACTTAGAGAGGGTAAGCGAAAGAGATAAACATAAATGATTAGAATAACCTCAAAACAATTAACGGCCAAGTAGTCAACTGTCTAGACCATGTTAGAAAATTCAAGACACAACTATGTACTGGTATTGAACAACCATGACGACACTGATTGATTCGAGATACACACCCAGATGGTAGAATTAATCACATAAAATACTCAAGAAGATCATTTACTTGGATAAAGTTCATTAGAGACGGTGACCAACGGGACAGCAGTTAAACATTAAGGTCCCGGGCACTGATAATTTCTGCCTTGTAAATCTAGTCATAACTTAAACATTAAAAATGGAATATTCCGTTCACCTGACTGATATTTTCCTTGAAATATAATTTTTATCGCAGAAAGCGCGTGGACTTTCTAATTTTTAACACGTTTCGTCTAGACGACATTTCTTTTTTATGGTCCAAAAATAAGACACCATGACTTTAGCAAATTACCAATAATCAGTCATAAAGTGTACTCCGAATGACTACGGGAACTTGGATCATAAAACGTACGTACGTCTTTGTATAGACAGTACCGGAGTATTCCGAATATTATAACATGATTAAAATTACACGACTTCATTCTTAAATCTCACCACAAAGAACGAATTCTCCAATAACGTCGGACGACAGCAACCTTTACATGCAAAGATTGATCGCTGGGGGCAATATATGTCCGGTAATAGTTTCACTTGCCGGTTCCCACTACTCCGTTATCTGGGTATGTGTTAGACGAAGGTTCCGTAGATTTCTACAGATTAATCACATGAGATGGCATTTCCGGGGGAGTTTCTCGCCAGTTTGGTTTATAGTATAATTGTTAATGTTTTATCGGTCCCTTGTGGTAAAGTATCAGCCATATTCCTGATATCGGAGGCCATGGTGCTATTTAAGTAAATTTGTGAAGCGCACCAAAGTGCTCTAGACCATTCGAAGGATTTGTGGGATCGAGAAAACCTTGACATTCTGAAAACAGCCACTGCCACTTTAAGCAATGGCTTCATACATAGCAACAACCCATCTATATACAATATACATATGTATGTGTTGACTTCAGAGTCGATATGACAATATTGATGGAATACAACGTTTCACATAGAGATACTAGATCAAGAGTAACCAACCTCTGGATGGACACATCCACGTGGAAAAACAGAATCTTTTAGAAAGTCCTCTAAAAGCTGACACAACATTAAGCGGTATAAAGTTTGCTACCCAGAAGAGCATAATTTAATCGGTTGTAAAAGCACCAAGAACGCTAAGGTTTGATCCTTCATCAAAGTGGAAAAATCAGGAAACCAGTTGTATTCTTCTCTTACAAAATAATTTAGACCTCTTCATCAAAGACGTTTAACCAAAGCTAACATCTTGAACCAATAGTTCGAGTCTGTTTTCACCAAATAAATGTATCTGTTTTCCAGGTAAAAGCCATAGTCATAGCGCCTCTAATCACAAAATCAACCACAGGTGTTGAAAAGTACTGACGTACCAAAAGCCAAATAAAGCAAGTGGCCCTGATGTAGTTCCCGGCCAGCGATAATATACTCAAACTTCTTGAACAAGAGTATGGGCCACTTTGAATTTTACTCCATCCTCACGGACCTGCGGAAGTGCAAAGCAAGAGATCATGCGAACTCCAATTGACACATACCATCAATGAAATTGTCAGAAACCTTGCCAAAGCCACATATATGTTGACATCATGCTGTTGGATTTCTCGAAAGCATTCGACAAGGTAACTCAGCATCGACTTCTCCACAACTAGTACGGTTTCCGGGTCGAATCAAAATTTTCCTACAGGATAGCAAGAACTGCGTACTAGTGGAAGGTAAGAAGTAATCGGAGGGTAGTGTAGATTCGCCCCAGGAAAAAGCAATTTCACTTCACATTTTCCTGTGTGCAAGCTGTACAGTCACCACTAAGAGTATTTGATGATGGTTGTCTCCTGTTCAGATGTATCAGTAAGAGAGAGGAATCGGCCATTCTCCAAGAAGACCTTGAGGCAATAGAGAAACGTGAGATAATTTGGCACGTGGCTTCTCACCCTTAAAAAAGCACAACCTTCCAAATCTCAAGGAAGAAGAAACTTCACGACGCCGCCCACAGTCTCCACGGTCACAATCTCTTGAGTGTTCCTGGTAGCAAACACCTAGGCCTCCACATCTCCTCTGACCTCTCCTGGCGAGATCATATTTACTAGTAATCTGCCAAAGCCACCAAACCTCTTGGATTGTGAGAAAGAACTTATGAGGTTGTCCTTAGAAAGTCACAAGCCTACACCTCCTTGGTATGTCCAGTCCTTGTGGGGACGCCTCTTCGGTATGGGATCCCCATATTCAACTCCAATTGACCACCTTGACAGGGTTCAGAGACAAGTCCGATTTACCACAGATAATTAGCATGGAAGGGAACCCGGCTGTGTTAAGAAAAAATCCCACCAACTAGGATAGGAACCACTTCGACAGAGACGTACCAGAAACATAATTACCATGTTCTATCAGTTCACGAAAGAGTTAGTCTGCGTGACTTTCCACCAAAACCTAACTAAACACACGGTACATCTGCAAACAACATCAAACAATTTGGTTGATGCTCATATATTTTCCTACCTTCCAAAAACCATCTTCACCTATAGTTGTTTTACCATCAGACATCAGAACGCTCTTGGACCTACAGAGCTTCCGAATCGCATAGCCTTCAGACAGCCAGGCATACCTGCAGGACACGACTGTCTTCATCTACTTTTATCTGTTTTAATTGTATACAGACGAACATTTTAAGTTTACTGGAGTTTAAACACTCAAATCGAGTCAACTCCATACCGGAAAGAAGAAGAAGAAACGACATAAGGTAAATATACGGCTGGTATGTCTGATGAACATAAAACTATATCCTATATTTCCAGAAAGAATTACGGCAGAGAACAAAAATCCTACCTTCCCGTTGAATTCTATAATTTCGTATAATTTCACGACATTTGGATGATCAACCACTTGGATGATGTCTAACTCTCGCGGAAGGAACTTTTCACGGAAGTCTTTAGGCGCTTTTTTCTTGTTGATGATTTTCACCGCGACCCTGGCATTGATTTTTGAAGAGTAGGCACTCTTGACTTTGGCGTACGAACCCTCTCCCAGCAAAGCACCCAAAGCATAACCGCTTTTCTTTAGTTCGGCTACTTCGTCGCCCGAACTGGACATGGTGGCGACTACTTTTCATTGACAATTGAATGATTTGCCCGACAACACTGTAACTCAGCTGTTACGTCATAAAGGTTGGGTTTCATGACGTCATAGCTACAGTTCCATTCTGACGTTGCAGAGTATTATCTTGTGTCGCAACCGTAAATAGCCGAGGGCTTGCTTTTTCATAAAATGCACTTTGTTTAAAATATCTTATCAAAATCTTGTATTTTACGAGTTTAACAAAATGATGAAACATTGTATGTGACATTTAAGGTCACTGAACGTCGCTCTCTGGTACATGTAATTTTGTATAAGCAAATGTAAGTATGAAACTAAACTAGAATCACTTTAAAAAAAATTAATTATGCACACAGAGACAAGTCATAAACTTAACATAAGACTTAAATCTGCGTCCTGATATAACGAGCATTATCTGGCAATAATTTTTACATGTATCACAAATTTATACACATCGACTACCATAGAAGGTATTGAATGGACATATTTCCTCCATAGTGTCTCTATAGATAGAATAGACAAACCTGCTTCAGATTTTTAACAAGAGTAAATCTTGTCGTTTCGGTGACTGCACTTGCACTTTAACGTCACGTATTAATTAGCTGGAGGTTACATGAGGAACTGAGAAATTTATGGAATTTTTTTTTAAATGAAACATTGCAGTATACTTTCTAAATTACTAAATTGTCCTTCTGCGCACCGATGTTCTTGTCTGTTAGTTTAAGCACTCAACATTTCGCGAAGATTGCGAACGGACTTTTCCCTCTTGGATAGGTTTTTTTTTAGACATCTGACGACTTTTCCGGCAGGGTTGTGTAAATATACTGGACAAAATAAGTTAAGGATCATAAATTGTGACCATAATATCTTTAAAAATTCAAATCATGTATTGCCGGTAATTGCACTCGTAGTTTCTCCAATATGTACCTAAAGTCATGTCAAAGGTGAAAGCACGTGCATCTGAAGGTCTTGCCGTTCCCCTCTAGTTAACTATGGTGGTGTGAAAAACTGACTGGTCTATTACTACAGAGGAATCTTGCAGGTTTTGATTCTGTTACTTCTAAGCTAAAAAAAGTTGAATTTGGAAACATTTAATCAATTTGTAACGAAAACTTGAAAAACTAATCATGCGAAGACATTTAAATGATATGGAAGCCGCGCGAGCTATAGGGCTCCTTCAAGCTGGTCAAACTCAACGAAATGTGGCGGCACAGCTTCATGTTTCTCAGAGCGTGATTAGTAGGCTATGGAATCGCTATCAACAGACAAATAACGTCCGTCAACGCCCCAGATCTGGACGACCACGCTGTACGACAGCCCGACAGGACAGATTCATTTGCATCACGGCACGACGTCAGCGGTTTTTGAGTGCTCCTGTCTTGAATCTTCAGTTTCAGCGTGCTACAAATCTAAGGATTTCATCCCAGACAATCAGAAACAGACTCCATGCCTCTAATTTACGAGCTAGAAGACCAGCAGTCCGACCAATTTTATCCAGAGGTCATCGACAATTCAGACATCAATGGGCCACTCATCATTTGAATTGGCAATTATCATTGGAGAAATGTTATGTTCACAGATAGGTTTTGTGTTACTTCCATGATAGGAGGATATGGAGAACCCAAGGAGAGCGCTATGCAGACTGCTGTGTTGTCCAGCATGATCGCTTTGGTGGTGGGTCAGTGATGGTTTGGGCAGGGATCAGTGTTGACTTCCATACAGACCTCTACATCATAGACAATGGATCTTTAACAGCTGTTCGATACAGGGACGAGATTCTACACCCTATAGTAAGGCCCATTGCAGGAGTTGTTGGCCATGATTTTATTTTGATGGATGATAATGCTCGTCCTCACCGTGCTCGTGTGGTCAACGACTATCTTCAACGTGAAGCAATCGTTCGCATGGACTGGCCAAGTCGTTCTCCTGATCTGAACCCTATCGAGCATGCTTGGGACACCTTGCAACGCCGGGTTTCAGCTCGACCTAATCCGCCACAGAACCGCCAACAGCTTATGATTGCTCTGCAAGAGGAATGGCAGCGCATCCCACAGATCAGCCACCGACGACTAATAAGGAGCATGTGCAGACGTTGCAGGGCAGTTATTGATGTCAACGGAGGTCATACTGCCTATTAAACTGCCAATTGCAGTTTGATGAGTTTTCCTTGTCTACATGATTAACTTGCTCTACTTCCTCTTACACTTTGATTTCAAGGGTGCTGTTACTCAGGGTTATCTGCTCTTGGTAGCAATTACCACAAATGAATTTGTTTTGTGTAATTAAAGACTAAAATGAATGTTCTGTCATTAAAATTTAAAATATAATCATATTATTATTTGTATGTAAAACTGCACTGTTTCAAGTTTATGATCCTTAACTTATTTTGTTCAGTATAGTTATCAATGTTAACTTTACTTATTTTACAACAATCGTGAAACAAGTTATAACAACTTAAACTAATTACTCTTGTTGGTCTGGATACACGCGAAAGGTCTTACTGTTGTAGGAAACCGGAGTACCTGGAGAAACCCCACGTGGTCGGACCAGTGACCCCCTACCTTTTCACGTCTGTTCCGGGTGAAAGGCGAAAGTAAGTTACCTCTGCACCACCCCACCAAGATAGTTGACGAATCTCTCCTTGTTTATTCGGCTGTGTCCAACTTACTGATAGCTCTGTTTGGCCATGTTTTGCAGAGTTTCGCAAAGACCACTCTCTTTATATATATATATATATATATATATATATATATATATATATTAATATTTAGCATGTATTTTACTAAACTACATAGTTATCCTATTTTGCCTACATGTGGTGACTCAAGAGCTGTACGTATACCCCCTCATTGATCGATTTCAGTTCAATTTAAAATTGAATTTGAATTTATTGATATCTAACCAGAGTATGTGTGGTGTTGGTTTACTGCTGTCATTTTGTCCTTTGATAACCTAGCTGATTAGCTTTGGCGTCTGTATGTTTGACGGTATTGACATACTCTGATGATGCGCGCTATAGAGTATGCTTTAACAAGCACCACGTTGATTACATCCATATTTATTAAGATATCTGCTGGTTGAATTGCAACCTACTTCTATACAACACGTCTCCAAAACGTCGCATTAATCATAAGTGTCCGATTCTTAAATCACTGATTGCTCAACATTTACTCACATGAACAGATATCAATAACTTAATACAATGTGCTTGGCTTTGTTCATATACTTCAATACATGTACACGTAATTGCCTGTCTTTGATGCAGGTATAAAACCGTGTTAATGTGACCAATTTAGACAATGCAGTTTCAACATGTCTGGAATGTATTTGTGATCACCTGTGCACATGATAAAGTCAGTCTAAGGTCTAGATCTAGAATCTCTGGGGGCATCACCCTAAAGTTAGGAGTTTCTGCTGTTATTTATTTACAAGTCAAATTTTCAGGAGTTTCTGTAGACATCAGTCTAAAGTTTGGAGTTTCTGGGGCATCACGCTAAAGACTGTAGTTTCTGGGGGCATCAATCTAAAAGTTTGGAGCTTCTAGCGGCATCACTCTAAAGGCTGTAGGAGCAGGGGGCATCAGTCTATAGTTTAGAGTTTCTGGAGGCATCAGTCTATAGTTTGGAGTTTCTAGGGGCATCAATCTAAAGTCTGGAGTTTCTGGGGGCATCAGTCTATCGTTTGGAGTTTCTAGAGGCATCAGTCTAAAGTCTGGAGTTTCTAAGGGCATCAGTCTAAAGTCTGGAGTTTCTAAGGGCATCAGTCTAATGTCTGGAGTTTCTAAGGGCATCAGTCTAAAGTCTGGAGTTTCTGGGGGCATCAATCTAAAGTCTGCAGTTTCTGGGGGCATCAATCTAAAGTCTGGAGTTTCTGGGGGCATCAGTCTATCGTTTGGAGTTTCTAGAGGCATCAGTCTAAAGTCTGGAGTTTCTAAGGGCATCAGTCTAATGTCTGGAGTTTCTAGGGGCATCAGTCTAAAGTCTGGAGTTTCTGGGGGCATCAGTCTAAAGGTTAGAGTTTCTTGGGGCATCACTCTAAAGTTTTTTGAGTTTCTGGGTACATCAGTCAATCGTTTGGAGTTTCTAGGGGCATCATTCTAAAGTCTGGAGTGTCTAGGGGCATCAGTCTGTCGTTTGGAGTTTCTAGGGGCATCAGTCTATCGTTTGGAGTTTCTAGGGGCATCAATCTAAAGTCTGGAGTTTCTGGGGACATCACTCTAAAGGCTATAGTTTCTGGGGGCATCACTCTAAAGTCTGGAGTTTCTAGGGGCATCAGTCTAAAGGATGGAGTTTCTAGGGGCATCACTCTAAAGGTTGGAGTTTCTGAAGACAGCAGTCTAAACTTTTGAGATATCCATTGAAAGTTTAGAGTAGATTCACAAGCAGTTAATCTGATCACTGTGAATATCATTACAGGATGGTTACCGTAAGTCAAAGGTTTCCTGTCACCAAAGTGCATTGTTTAATAAAAATGAATTGTTCATCAAACTATACCAAAATTTCTCCAATTTTTTAATTGATTAATTAGATTTTTTTTAGTTTACTTAGCGTGATGGTAACATTTTTCCAGACAAAGCTGATTGTTTGGTAGTTAAGATAACCTTCTATTGGATGTGTTCTTAATTGCACCAAGGGAGCTTGTTGTCATTGTCATTGTGCTGTCTGAGTGTGTATTATTCCCGTGCTTCCAGGAAACGTTGAGAAATATTGGCAGACATCAGTTTTTATAAGTAGATGTTATTAACTAATGTTGTGTCAATAATTTGATATCTTCTGCCTATAATGGGGAATATCTCTTCACCTTGCTAAAAATAATTGTGATCATTTATCCATAATCACGATGAAGCCAATATCGATTGTACATTAAGAAGAAAGCACATTCATGCTGACAAGGCAGATTCATCAGATGGTCACCAATGTTTCAGCTTGCTGCAGACAGCTCAGTAGAGGGAGAATTAAGTCATTCAGCAAGTCAGTTAAACTGGTAGAGGGAGAATTCAGCTACTAAGTGAGTCAGTTAAACTGGTGGAGGGAGAATTCAGCTACTAAGTGAGTCAGTTAAACTGGTGGAGGGAGAATTCAGCTACTAAACGAGTCAGTTAAACTGGTGGAGGGAGAATTCAGCTACTAAGTGAGTCAGTTAAACTGGTGGAGGGAGAATTCAGCTACTAAGTGAGTCAGTTAAACTGGTGGAGGGAGAATTCAGCTACTAAGTGAGTCAGTTAAACTGGTGGAGGGAGAATTCAGCTACTAAACGAGTCAGTTAAACTGGTGGAGGGAGAATTCAGCTACTAAACGAGTCAGTTAAACTGGTGGAGGGAGAATTCAGCTACTAAGTGAGTCAGTTAAACTGGTGGAGGGAGAATTCAGCAGTTAAACTGGTGGAGGGAGAATTAAACGAGTCAGTTAAACTGGTGGAGGGAGAATTCAGCTACTAAGTGAGTCAGTTAAACTGGTGGAGGGAGAATTCAGCTACTAAGTGAGTCAGTTAAACTGGTGGAGGGAGAATTCAGCTACTAAGTGAGTCAGTTAAACTGGTGGAGGGAGAATTCAGCTACTAAGTGAGTCAGTTAAACTGGTGGAGGGAGAATTCAGCTACTAAGTGAGTCAGTTAAACTGGTGGAGGGAGAATTCAGCTACTAAACGAGTCAGTTAAACTGGTGGAGGGAGAATTCAGCTACTAAACGAGTCAGTTAAACTGGTGGAGGGAGAATTCAGCTACTAAACGAGTCAGTTAAACTGGTGGAGGGAGAATTCAGCTACTAAGTGAGTCAGTTAAACTGGTGGAGGGAGAATTCAGCTACTAAACGAGTCAGTTAAACTGGTGGAGGGAGAATTCAGCTACTAAGTGAGTCAGTTAAACTGGTGGAGGGAGAATTCAGCTACTACACGAGTCTGTTAAACTGGTGGAGGGAGAATTCAGCTACTAAGTGAGTCAGTTAAACTGGTGGAGGGAGAATTCAGCTACTAAACGAGTCAGTTAAACTGGTGGAGGGAGAATTAAACAGCTACTAAGTGAGTCAGTTAAACTGGTGGAGGGAGAATTCAGCTACTAAACGAGTCAGTTAAACTGGTGGAGGGAGAATTCAGCTACTAAGTGAGTCAGTTAAACTGTCAGTAAACTGGTGGAGGGAGAATTCAGCTACTAAGTGAGTCAGTTAAACTGGTGGAGGGAGAATTCAGCTACTAAGTGAGTCAGTTAAACTGGTGGAGGGAGAATTCAGCTACTAATCGAGTCAGTTAAACTGGTGGAGGGAGAATTCAGCTACTAAGTGAGTCAGTTAAACTGGTGGAGGGAGAATTCAGCTACTAAGTGAGTCAGTTAAACTGGTGGAGGGAGAATTCAGCTACTAAGTGAGTCAGTTAAACTGGTGGAGGGAGAATTCAGCTACTAAGTGAGTCAGTTAAACTGGTGGAGGGAGAATTCAGCTACTAAGTGAGTCAGTTAAACTGGTGGAGGGAGAATTCAGCTACTAAGTGAGTCAGTTAAACTGGTGGAGGGAGAATTACTAAGTGAGTCAGTTAAACTGGTGGAGGGAGAATTCAGCTACTAAGTGAGTCAGTTAAACTGGTGGAGGGAGAATTCAGCTACTAAGTGAGTCAGTTAAACTGGTGGAGGGAGAATTCAGCTACTAAGTGAGTCAGTTAAACTGGTGGAGGGAGAATTCAGCTACTAAGTGAGTCAGTTAAACTGGTGGAGGGAGAATTCAGCTACTAAGTGAGTCAGTTAAACTGGTGGAGGGAGAATTCAGCAGTTAAACTGGTGGAGGGAGAATTCAGCTGAGTCAGTTAAACTGGTGGAGGGAGAATTCAGCTACTAAGTGAGTCAGTTAAACTGGTGGAGGGAGAATTCAGCTACTAAGTGAGTCAGTTAAACTGGTGGAGGGAGGAGAAGTTAAACTGGTGGAGGGAGAAGCTACTCAGCTACTAAAGTGAGGTTAAACTGGTGGAGGGAGAATTCAGCTACTAAGTGAGTCAGTTAAACTGGTGGAGGGAGAATTCAGCTACAAAGTGAGTCAGTTAAACAGGTGGAGGAAGAATACAGCTACTAAGTGAGTCAGTTAAACTGGTGGAGAATTCAGCTAGAATGAGTCAGTTAAACTGGTGGAGGGAGAATTCAGCTACTAAGTGAGTCAGTTAAACTGGTGGAGGGAGAATTCAGCTACTAAGTGAGTCAGTTAAACTGGTGGAGGGAGAGCTACTAAGTGAGTCAGTTAAACTGGTGGAGGGAGAATTCAGCTACTAAGTGAGTCAGTTAAACTGGTGGAGGGAGAATTCAGCTACTAAGTGAGTCAGTTAAACTGGTGGAGGGAGAATTCAGCTACTAAGTGAGTCAGTTAAACTGGTGGAGGGAGAATTCAGCTACTAAACGAGTCAGTTAAACTGGTGGAGGGAGCACAAGTATGAACTCATCTCAAACTGAGGAATTCAGTTAAACTGGTGGAGGGAGAATTCAGCTACTAAGTGAGTCAGTTAAACTGGTGGAGGGAGAATTCAGCTACTAAACGAGTCAGTTAAACTGGTGGAGGGAGAATTCAGCTACTAAACGAGTCAGTTAAACTGGTAGAGGGAGAATTCAGCTACTAAGTGAGTCAGTTAAACTGGTGGAGGGAGAATTCAGCTACTAAGTGAGTCAGTTAAACTGGTGGAGGGAGAATTCAGCTACTAAGTGAGTCAGTTAAACTGGTGGAGGGAGAATTCAGCTACTAAGTGAGTCAGTTAAACTGGTAGAGGGAGAATTCAGCTACTAAACGAGTCAGTTAAACTGGAGGGAAATTTCATTCATTTGACAACCAAGCAAAACAGGTGGAAGAAAATTTCTGTCATTGAACAAATAAGTTCAACTGGTGGAGGGAAATCACAGTCTTTCAGCATTTCTAGTTACCTAGTACACATGGAGAGATCGAAATAACTCAGCATGGATTTAAAAAAAAAAAAAAATAAATAAATAAAATACACGACTTTAAAGAATAAGGAAAAAGATACAACCAAAATTTCTTTTTTTAAACTTTTATTATTGAAAATAGAGAATGAATTAACTAAACATTAGATAATTAAAAACATTATATCACATTTGTTTGAGCATTGTAAACCTTTTTTTTAATGTAAGAAAAGACAATCACATTAGGAACTTGATCATGTTAATGTTAGCTAGTTTATACAACCCTTCAAATATTGTTACATCCATGGCTCCAGGTACGTGTCTGAACCAAAACCACTAACTAGACCAACAAACACCACATGACTTTACACATGGTTTTCCTGTCATAGATTATACAATACAGTATCGTACATTTAACAACTGATGATGGACAATGTCCTGTTTCATAAAACAAAATGTATTGCATTATTCTTAACTACACAAATAAAAGCATTAGGGACACATGTTGTTTGTTATCCCGCTCAGTGTCCAGTGTCATGACAAGTAAACAGAGTGAGAAGTGAAATATAATCCTGACCATGTTTAGCTTTAATCTGACCAGAAAGGATACTTGTTAAAGAGTGACAACTGGAAACATTCTTACCATACCTTCCTTAATAATACATAAAAGAAAATGATTTACGATATATACAAAATACTTTAAAATAAGGACTCTCATATTTTCAGTATGAAAATATAGCACTGTAAATATAGATTTGATAATATTATATTGCAGATAAATAAAATATAATGAAAAAATAAACTATGGTATGTGTAACAATAACAAAAATGTGTCGCTGTATGATGTTGAAGGTCGATGGTACATGTATTACTACAATTGTATACATACAGATGTAACAGGTATATAACATTCTGCTACAAAACCAACATTATCATACAACCATAGACCAGCAACAGGAAAAATTCTATAATAGTTATATCCATCCTAAAATTATGATATAATAAAACTGACATGACTGCATTTAAACAAATGCCATTAAAACCTCAGTACTTTTTAACAGTCAAGGAAATAAGTTTTACAAATTTGTGTAGTTGACATCATTCAAGATTACAAAAAGGACCTGGCTTCCCTGGTCTTTCAAAATTGTTAATACTAACAATAAAATGGATGTTAATGAGGTAAGTAGGGCTACAGAGAATTTAAAATCTTTTGTTCGAAGAGGAATTCACAAAAATGTAAATATATAATTCATAAATGTATACTGGTAGGCGAAATTAAGTGAAAAACATGTAAAACAGCAATATGTAGTATCTGTATACATACAATACAATTACAAGGCCACTTTGTCACACACACTCTGTATCATGATTTGTAATATCAATAACACATATCTCACCTGTAAAACTGATTTACATAACCAACATTTTATCAGATATATATAATGTAATTTCAAAAGTAAATGATGTTTTATCACATTAGTTACAATGTAACTAGTAGGTATTAAATAACTCAAACATTTTCACATAAGTTACAGTGTAATTACACAAGTAACTAACATCAATTACATAATATGTTAATCACAATATACCTGTGTAAGTAACTGTAAAATTATATCACATAAGTTACAGCGTAATTACACAAGTAACTAACATCCATTACATAATATGTTAATCACAATATACCTGTGTAAGTAACTGTAAAATTATATATAAGTTCACATTACACAAGTAACTAACATCCATTACATAATATGTTAATCACAATATCCCTGTGTAAGTAACTGTAAAATTATAACAACTTTAAAAACCTTTTTCATTACATCAGTTACAATGTAATCAGTAGTAGGTAACTGTAAAATATAATCACATTAGTTACAATGTAATTATGTAAGTAACTAACAATAAACTACATTTGTTATAATGTAATTACATAAGTAACTAAGATTAAAAATACAATGTAATTACGAAAATAACTATCATTAAATCACATCAGTTACAATGTAATTATGAAAATAACTATCATTAAATCACATCAGTTACAATGTAATTACGAAAATAACTATCATTAAATCACAGTAGTTTCAATGTAATTGATGAAGTTGTTTTAATATGGTCTAATATGTATGGTAGTACAAAGCAGACAGAAATGTTTTTTATCAACATTTTTACATCATTTACCCAGGATAATGAAATCGTGGTGGTAAGGTGTTAAACTAATATTGAATTATACTACCCCGATCTTGCTAATGAAATAACATAAATTAATTTTGATATCATATGATGTATTCACTGTTCCCCACCACAATACAAAACTAGAAGGATACAGACACTGACTATACATATGTTGTGATTTCTAATCTCCAATGATACTCCAATAATACTGTCTACATCCATCAGCATTTTTCTATTCTCCAACAATTTCCAGAAGCATCTGTTTGTAATCGCCCTTACACTCGGACCGAATCAACTGGGACAAGCTCTTTTTGTGTCGCTGTTGTAGCCTTGTTTTGATGTCTCCTAGGTCCTTCTGTCCATGAAAAAACATCACAATCTATCAAAGGCATGTAACAAATTTCATAATGAGAATTTCTTATGACCATTTTTTTTATGTTAGATTATAATAATATACAGCCAAAGGTTATATAATTTACTTTGTAATGTAAAATTTCTAACTAAACCAATAAAAGGAATATGTAATATTTATCGGTAATGTAAGATATTTATAACTAAACTATAATGAATATGTAATATTTATCGGTAATGTAAGATATTTCTAACTAAACCAATAAAATGAATATGTAATATTTATCGGTAATGTAAGATATTTCTAAACCAATAAAAGGAATATGTAATATTTCCCGGTAATGTAAGATATTTCTAACTAAACCAATAAAATGAATATGTAATATTTATCGGTAATGTAAGATATTTCTAACTAAACTATAATGAATATGTAATATTTACCGGTAATGTAAGATATTTCTAACTAAACCAATAAAAGGAATATGTAATATTTATCGGTAATGTAAGATATTTCTAACTAAACCAATAAAATGAATATGTAATATTTATCGGTAATGTAAGATATTTCTAACTAAACCAATAAAAGGAATATGTAATATTTCCCGGTAATGTAAGATATTTCTAACTAAACCAATAAAATGAATATGTAATATTTATCGGTAATGTAAGATATTTCTAACTAAACCAATAAAAGGAATATGTAATATTTATCGGTAATGTAAGATATTTCTAACTAAACCAATAAAATGAATATGTAATATTTATCGGTAATGTAAGATATTTCTAACTAAACCAATAAAAGGAATATGTAATATTTATCGGTAATGTAAGATATTTATAACTAAACTATAATGAATATGTAATATTTATCGGTAATGTAAGATATTTCTAACTAAACCAATAAAATGAATATGTAATATTTCCCGGTAATGCAAGATATTTCTAACTAAACCAATAAAAGGAATATGTAATATTTATCGGTAATGTAAGATATTTCTAACTAAACCAATAAAAGGAATATGTAATATTTCCCGGTAATGTAAGATATTTCTAACTAAACTATAATGAATATGTAATATTTCCCGGTAATGTAAGATATTTCTAACTAAACCAATAAAATGAATATGTAATATTTCCCGGTAATGTAAGATATTTATAACTAAACTATAATGAATATGTAATATTTATCGGTAATGTAAGATATTTCTAACTAAACTATAATGAATATGTAATATTTATCGGTAATGTAAGATATTTCTAACTAAACCAATAAAAGGAATATGTAATATTTATCAGTAATGTAAGATATTTCTAACTAAACCAATAAAATGAATATGTAATATTTATCGGTAATGTAAGATATTTCTAAACCAATAAAAGGAATATGTAATATTTCCCGGTAATGTAAGATATTTCTAACTAAACCAATAAAATGAATATGTAATATTTATCGGTAATGTAAGATATTTCTAACTAAACTATAATGAATGTGTGATATTTAGCTAATTTACTGTCTCACAAAAACAGTGCTATATTGAGTTACTGAAGATTGTGTGGGAGTATAATTCACTCAGTGAACATTTTTACACTTCTTAGGTCCATTAAACATCACTGCTATAAAAACCTAGTTATTAAAATTCTCTGGTTTAAACCTTTTTGCTCTGAATTATTGACAGCATTCACTGTGATTAGGATCAATCAGCAGTGATAATTTACCTCAGCGTGCGATACTGTCATGCGAATCAGCATGTTATCATTGACACCCATACTGCTGAAACAGGAATTCAACTTCTCAGCATAGAAGTCATGCGGGTCCTGCACTGCCATAGCTGGAAAACAAAACAATTTCACCTTTGAGAATGATTACCAAAAAAACACTTTGAAGGCAGGCTACAAAATTCTGACACTAGAATTTCCATGAATAATAATTCTACAATTTAACAATAAAAGAAAAATAAATGTTATTACTACTACCAAGAGATGTATAATATACCAGTTATTTCTTCTAACACACTGTCACATTAACAATGGTGTGACATTTCATTCTCTGTGACCGAATTTCCAGGTACTTACCCAGAGAAATGTACCCATCCTCGTCCTCACCTAAACCAGCTGTAATCAGTCCAGCAAAGATGTCCTGTCCTGCTAACTGTCAACAAAAAATTCACCCTCAGGAATAATTGGTATAATTTCAAGGTGCTATACTTATGATGATCTGATAAAAGGAAAACATGTCATATCAAAATGAACATAGTTTTCACAGGTTGTGTATATACATGTTCTTATGCTACATCTACATTACAGTGTGTGTTTTAAGTGTTTGTTCAGTGCCTCACCAGTATCACAAGTAGCATAGATCAGACAAGCACAAGCACATCAGCATTACATTTTCATTTTGTCATTTTGAGTTCAGTTATAAAAAAATTCTGCTGTAGGTGAACAGGAAAACTCTTCTAACCACAACTCACTGTACTTACCCTTTCATACTCCTGGAATGCAGCTTTCACTTGAACATGACTTGACTTGACCATAAGGTTGATAAAAGTTTCACCTTTGGGATGAACAGCCTTACCATCCTGGAAGATCAATAATACTGCTGAGGTAGGAAACAGATGTATAATGAATTAACATCAAGGAATACCTATAAAAGGTATTCAGAAATACCACTTGTTTACAAAACACATTAACCCTGGTTTTTATCTTGTATATATATATAAGTGTGTGTGTGGAGGAGAGAGGGTGTGTGTGTGTATGTGTGTGAGGGTGATGTTGTATGTGTGCATATATATATTTGAAGCAGACTGACCTTAAGAAGCATCTTGGCCTCTTGCTGTGCCCGTGCCTGGTTGACAGGTCCAGTCTCCCTATCACCTGACCAAACTGCCACCAACAAATCTGCGAAGTCTGAGTTAGCATCCTCCTTCCTGAGATCACTTTCCACATCAGTCTTGTATGCTGTCAACAACAAAACAGCCAGAAAGATTTCACTCTGATCTGAATCTAGCTTTTGTATTGCTATAATATGCATACATGTATCTCTTTGGTGTGACTATTTTCTATCAGTAAAACATTAATTGTCAGGACTAGCCAATCAGAACAAGCATCAGGTTAATATTAAGTTGCTGCACATTTTGTGAATTTATTTCTGGGAAGGCAAGAGTCACACAGAAAATTGCACTTCTGTTTTCTCTCTAAAATTGCAAGGAGTCAACATCATGCAGTCAAAAAAACATAGACAAAGCTTATCAAAACCAAGAGGCCCATGAGCCTTCATACTCATCTGACTATAAAGGCATATATATGATATCATCTGAATCAATTTAGCAGTCTATCGCCCAATTATAATACAGAACCAATATCTATAGTCATGAACTTTTGGTTATTAAGAAGCCCTTTGAAGATTTCAACATGTTTGACCCCCTGTTACCTTAAAAATGGGTCAAGGTCATTTATTTGGACAAATTTGGTAGTCTTTCATTCCTTCAGGCCCTAAATCAGCACCCTTGGCTTTTTGGTAATTGAAAAGAAGTTGGTTACAGATTTTAACATATTTTCCCCCTGTGACCTTGAAAATAGGTCAAGGTTATTCATTTGAACAAACCTCAATAGCCCTTTGTCCTTGCATGGTTACCGAGAAGACATTGTTTGAATTGAAAGTTAACACATGGCAACAATTGATAAAACATGCCAAACAACCTAAAATAAACTTTCAACTACATGGTATAAGAAGTGATGATCTAAGAAAGGACTAATTGTATTGGTGAAGCTGGAATTAACAAATGTAGTATCCTAAACAGAGAAGCAGGTTGGAAGGACTTATGAGAAGAGGAGATCCTGCTAGAACTCCATAAATCTACAGGAAGTGATAAACAATACGGTTACTTCTGACCTGTCAATGAAGATTTGTGATAAACAACACTTCCATAAAGAACATAACCCAATCTCAGACAATCACGGTCTTACAAGGAATTCTATGAATAAATTAATAATAAATCAAGGTGAGCAGTCAAGATATAGGAAATTGGTTCTAAAACGATGTTTATATGGCTTGTTAGCTGACAATAGAATGGTGCTTTGGTAAGGAAATGTTGTCACAATGATGTTTTATAATGATACAGTTTGTAAGCCAGACGTTATCTCTGCGTTCTAGTTAGTCTCCTTCCTCACCACCTTACTGAAGCAAGAACAACTTTAACCCTAAGCAATATTGGCATGTTCTCCAACACAAAATAACTGGTATGGGTATACTTTTGTTAGATAAAATGAGTTTTTGCCTGAGTTTTTCAATTCACAAATTATGTAAGTAGAAGTATATTTTCAGCTCCAAAAAGTACCTGCAAAAATTACATGTGCACATTACTTGGATCTTTAAGGTACCCAGATATCACCATTCCAAACCAGGACAAAACCAAGATTTTCACAATTGCCAGGCCTTGACCATCACAGATCATGACGTATGTGTATATACAATCCAGGGTAGAAACTAATACTTAAACAAGTGTCTTTGCCTAAACCAATTTATGGCTTTAGTGTATATACATATACAAAATATCAGGATACCAAAACACAAGCTATACTGATGGTCTGCAGTATGTGAAAACTATCATTAGAACAGATTTCTAATGTAAGTGATATTTCATAGGATGTTTACTACAGTTTATGTTGGAAATTAATCAGAAATAAAGCTGATTATGTCGTCAGTGAAGTTATTTATTGATGTTGCTGACCACAATTCTATTTCCCTTCATCAGCAGCTGCTGGCACACACAGGGCAGCTACAAAAAAGCAGGGACTAATCATCTATAATTGTAGTGGTCTTGTCTGTCCTTGAGTCAACCACAATTGTCTATAATCAACAATTGCTCTATCTCTGCTGACACAGAAGACACACAAATTTTGTCTCCAATCTATCGACTTACCAAAGAATGAAATTTTACCCGCATCCATTAGTTTCACATAAAACTGCGTATAATGGATTTTTTTGTGTGTGAGAAACTCTATTGAAATCCTCTGGGTAAATCAAGAAAACTTGATTATAAATGTTGCTAAAAGCAGTTTATCATCTTTCCTGTTATTTTAAGGAGAAAACTCCATGTAACCAACCTTTTTTGTAATGATCAGCGATTGCCTTCTTTTCCTGAAAAAAAAAAATACATCATAATGAGGAAATGTGGAAATGTTTCTGTAGGATATGGCTACATTTAAGGAAATTTACTGCCAGTAAATATACATATTAATATCCCTGGGAGAGAAACCTCAACTGTAAACACATTTAGAAGGCTTAGACAGAAGTGAAACATCTATTTCAAGCCACATAGAGAACAAAACACATCAAGCGAAAACTATATATCAAGTGTGAGATGTCAAGGGCAAAGTGATGCTATAGATGTCTAACTAGCTCTGACAAACACTGCATAAATTCACAAAAAATGTCAAAATCAATTTGTTTTCATCCTCATTACATAGAAGTACAGTATAGAACTAGGATAATGACTCTGGTGTTTTACCTTCTACACTGAACCCAAATATAGCAAATACCTATGCCTCTAGGACAGACAATTCCATAACTCCAACATAACAATTAAGAATTGAATGGCATATCTTGCCTATTGATGACAATTTAGGTCCAACAGAAAATATTCTCTGTATCTGGTGACAGTTCCTTACAGGTCTCTATATATGGTAACATTTCTCTCTACCTGGTGTCCTCTATATAGATGGTTCTCTATATCTAGTGACAGCTCTCTATATCTGGTGACAGTCCTATATATCTGGTGACAGTTCTCTATATCTGGTGACAGTCCTATATATCTGGTAACAGTCCTATATATCTGTTGACAGTCCTATATATCTGGTGACAGTCCTATATATCTGGTGACAGTTCTCTATATCTGGTGACAGTTCTCTATATCTGGTGACAGTCCTATATATCTGGTGACAGTTCTCTATATCTGGTGACAGTCCTCTATATCTAGTGACAGTTCTCTACATCTGGTGAATGTCCTCTATATCTGACTAAAGATTGCCTTAAGATACCTTGATTCTAGTCACTAACATGTTAATCACTTTCAACAGTGATACCCTTATATGAAATACTGACATGTTTGTCACTGATATGTTTGTTATTGTTGAAATTGATAGCCTGATAGTCACTTAAATGCTTGTTACTGTTAACAGTGACACAATGATTTGAGTCAATGACATGATTGTGACCGTCAACAGTTGTACCATGATCAGCCATTGATATGTTTGTCATTGTTGAAAGAGATAGCCTGATTAAGTCACTAACATGTCTGTTACCTTGGATTATGGTATCCTGTTGAAAGTGACAACCCAAATTAAGTAACTGACTTGTATGCCAAGGTTGCTGACAGTGATATTCTGGTCAAAGTCACTGACCTATTTGTCACTGTCGACAGTGATGTCCTGATCTGAGTCAATGACATGTTTGTCACTGTCAACAGTGATACCCTGAACCAAGTCACTGACCTGTTTGTCCCTGGTGACAATGATACCAAGCATTGTACCATCTCGTGTGCCCATCCCATCCAAGGCTTCATGTACACTGTGAGCATCATACTCTGCTGGGGTCTGTAATAGTCCCAGCAGGATTTCCTCGTAGTCTCCTTGTAACACCCTCTCTAGATCCTTTTGAAGGTCCTGTTGCCAAAAGAATTTTAACATTCAATTTCAAAGTATTTAAATTTTTCACCAATTCTGTTACCATATTAACTCTCTAAAGCAATATCAAGAAAGAGACTCTGTTATTTTCCCTATCTGAAGATAACAGATGAAAATGGACAGGCTTAACAAAGGCTGAACTGGATTTTTTTTTTTAGTCTTAGTGGATACTATATATGAAATGCCCTGTTTTCAGAGTGTTAAAAAGGCTGAAATCAACCAGTGGGCTGAAGGTCTTCATCTCTAATAACCTGAGTATTTTGATGTGAAACTGTTTTTTGTTTTTTTTTATTTTCATGCAGATGTTATTACACTAATGACAAAACTTTCAATATGGAGCAGTTTGAAGGTACCTTGCAAACTTGGAAATAATATTAGTATATTTCTATGTCATATGACAAGGCCTTTGATGTAGATCTAACAACCTTCTAGACATGTCTACAGTATGACATGATATGATATTATTGTCAGGCAGTCACTTTCTTTTGCTCATCTTTTGCTCTTGTATCAATTTTGAATTTGATTGTTGTTACCAAGCCTTTCATATTGTTTAAATTCATAGACTTTTTTCTCCACAGCTTAAACTAGCAAGTCTTAAATTAACTAGAACGGCCTTCCCTAAGGTCACATATACCTCCAGCAGGTGCTTGCTAAACAATCAATAAGAGGTCTCCAGTTAGTCAATGGTAGAGGTGATAAAAGGAAGAAATGCATTACAATGCATCAGTTTATCGATACAGCCATTGGCAAGGAATATATAGTTCAACCAAACACTGTTGCTTAAGTTTAGTAACAAAGGTAGCTGTTACATTGAGCTAGTAATTTATCACAGATTTACCAGACATGACTTGATCAACCACAGAATATAGTCTCTGTAACCATAGAAACTATCATTGAAAAATTGAAATGAAATTGAAATGTAAATTTTTAATGAAATTAATTTAGTTTATACGTTTGAGAGGAGAAGGTTATAATGGTTACAGGTTTTTCATTTCCTTGGCTAATGATTCCTATTGCTTGGCATGTTTTACCATATGCCTGTTCAGAGGTCTGTGGTCTTACAATCCCACTTCAATGAAATAAGAACCTAAAGCTATCTATAAACTTATGTCTTCATGAATTAAAAAATTCAGAGTTGTTGCATATACTGAAGTTGGGGTGCCTTTCTTTATGTCTTTTGGATTTTGACAAACTGTAAATTTCATACATCTAGTTTGTACTTGGTTCATGATGCTACAGCTCAGCCCAGGAATTTGGTAAGCTAACAGTACAGGCAACTAAACCTCTTTACTTGTCATTGCTACCTTTAAGTTGACATATTTGCTGAACAAGCAACAAAGAGCAATAGAACTCTAAAGTCTCTACTGATTTTAATCACGATGCAAGAGCATGGCATTTCAGGGTCACAGAGTACAAAAAAGGTTCTCAACACTAATAGCTTGTGCTGTACTGACTGGGGACAATGTTTGGATGTGATTTATCCTGACAAATTGCTTTCCTGCTGTGTGTAAATGAGGTAGCTCTATCCACAATTAACATCAAACATCTCCTGGTCATTCTCCTTTACAAATAAAAAACCAGGTTCTAACAGTACCTGTCACAGCCCTCTTGAGACCATTCAATCTACACACCCACTCTGGCAACAAGACAAGAGATATGTGACATATACTAACAGCACTATTTGGAATACTGACAGGTGATAAAAGCAAATTATCATTAATTACTGTTTAGTTTTATTCTTTGGATTTCCACTTCACATCAGAAATGTAAAAACATTCAGTCACCTTAAGTCTAATAGAATTTAAAATTTCAGAACACATGATGATATCATTGGATTGCAAAATATGCTTATAATATTTTTCAACACAAGTCTTTAGCTATTGGTAACATTAGAAAAGTCTACTTGGTGCATTGCTTAAGTATGTGTTACCTTTTTAAATCCTTAAAAAACTATGGCATACTATAACACAGTACTTAAAACTCGCATCTCCTTTCAAGCTTAATACAATTCTGGACAACCCTAGGATTGGTTTGCAGATATTGTAACAAGTTGCTTCGTCAGAAAGTTAGGTAAGGAACTCGTGTATCATAGAGATTTATTATTTATTTTTGTAAAATTTTGAAGTCTATGTGCCTTTTGAAAAATGAGAATTTCAGGAAGAAAGGGTTTAAATTCTAAGTTTTTAAGGAATCTTGAACAGAAATAGCATGTTTCTCTGCATGAACTATATATATAAACACGGTAAGTGAAATAATGAAATAAATATAATGATAAAAACAAACCAAAGTAAGAGAAGTAGTTATACAATAATGACATGGTTTCTGCTCAGTCTGACCTGTTTGAACTTGCTGCTGTACAACTTCCTAATTTGTTGCCTCTGGGCGTTACAACGCTGGGTGAGGATCTCCATGATCTGTGCCTCGTCTGTACCGTACTTCCCCACCGCATCATGTAGTTTGTCACAGTCATCATCAGGATGGAAGGACTTGCTTGGCTTCACAGTGCCACTTATATTTTTCTTCATCATCTCTTTCTCCTTCTTAAGTCCTTTCTCTCTTTCCCTTGCCTCCTTTTCTTTCTCGCGTGCAATCTCCTGTCCTTGACGCTGACTGACAACTTCTGCTGTAATACGCTGACTGGGAGCAGCCAGGGGGTTACGAGGTGTGTTGGCTTCTTCCTCCTTTGTTTGTGAAAGTGGAGGACGTTTGATAGGGCGTTTAGCAGCTCCCACAGGCACAGGTGGTTTGCTCTAAAGAAAGAAATCAACTTTACATTGCCATATTATCACATTGATGTAATTAATACAGATGTTTTCCTATTTTCTGATAAAAAAATTTCTGGTTTTCACAGTAATGAATATAAAGTCATCAATGAAATATAGCTCGGGTTTTTTTATACAAAATTTGACTGTAGTTCTAAAGAGAGCATTCAATACTCTGCTTGACAGGTCTCATTTGGTCCTGTCCCTAATTATTTTGGCCTAATTGATGTGAAATGGAAGCCATTTGTAAAATTTTGGATTGAAAACAAACCAGACACTATTGCGCATCACCATGTACAATATTAGTATATTCAAGAAAATCACTGAAAACAAATGTAACTAGAACTGTCGCCTAGATGGCTGACCAATACCCCCCGCACACTGCAACGAGTCAATGGATAAGTTAAAGTGTTATTCTGAGAGTAATTGACATATTCTGCATGTGCCTGCATTTCTGGAAATCAGAAGGGGTGGAATACATGCTGTTCATGATCAAGAGAGTCTTGCAATACTTACATCTTTATTGAAGTAATATTTTCCACTGAAGGGCCACAGAGACAAAAAAAATGGTCACTATAATAAGTGGGTACTACATCAATCTCAAACTCATCTGGCAATCGGTTGATAATCAGAGGCCAGGATTGTGTTTCCGCGGTAACAGTTTGGGAAACGTCTAATATGTCCAATTATTGGCCTTACTGAATTACATCTTTTTACTAAGTTTGAATACAATCGGTCAAATAACTGACACATGATTCCTGTAAAGTTTCATCAAAATCGGTTCACAGGTTTAGGAGGAGTTAGCCAGACAAAATATGTCTACAGACAGACGGACAACCTGATTCCAGTATACCCCCCCTAACTTCGTTGCGGGGGGTATAATTAATAGACTAGCATCAGCATATTTGATGTGGGAGCTTGATTACTTTAATGTAGCATATTATCATACTGTAACAAAAGGAAAACCATCACTACTGTACACCAAATCTTTACCACTGTACACCAAACCATCACCACTGTACAACAAACCATCACCACTGTACAACAAACCATCACTACTGTACACCAAACCATCACCACTGTACACCAAACCATCACCACTGTACAACAAACCATCACTACTGTACACCAAACCTTCACCACTGTACACCAAACCATCACTACTCCCATCACTACTGTACACCAAACCATCACCACTGTACACCAAACCATCACCATTGTACACCAAACCATCACTACTCCCATCACTACTGTACACCAAACCATCACCATTGTATACCAAACCATCACTACTGTACACCAAATCTTCACCACTGTACACCAAATCTTCACCACTGTACACCAAACCATCACTACTGTACACCAAACCATCACTACTGTACACCAAACCATCACCATTGTACACCAAACCATCACTACTCCCATCACTACTGTACACCAAACCATCACCATTGTATACCAAACCATCACTACTGTACACCAAACCATCACCATTGTATACCAAACCATCACTACTGTACACCAAACCATCACCATTGTATACCAAACCATCACTACTGTACACCAAATCTTCACCACTGTACACCAAACCTTCACCACTGTACACCAAACCATCACTACTGTACACCAAACCATCAATACTGTACACCAAACCATCACTACTGTACACCAAACCATCACCACTGTACACCAAACCATCACTACTGTACACCAAACCATCACCATTGTACACCAAATCTTCACCACTGTACACCAAACCATCACTACTGTACACCAAACCATCACTACTGTACACCAAACCATCACCATTGTATACCAAACCATCACTACTGTACACAAAACCATCACTACTGTACACCAAACCTTCACTACTGTACACCAAACCATCACCATTGTACACCAAACCATCACCACTGTACAACAAACCATCACTACTGTACACCAACCCATCACCACTGTACAACAAACCATCACTACTGTACAACAAACTATCACTACTGTACACCAAACCATCACCACTGTACAACAAACCATCACTACTGTACAACAAACCATCACTACTGTACACCAAATCTTCACCACTGTACACCAAACCATCACTACTGTACAACAAACCATCACTACTGTACACCAAACCATCACTACTGTACACCAAACCATCACCACTGTACACCAAATCTCCACCATTGTACACCAAACCATCACTACTGTACACCAAATCTTCACCACTGTACACCAAACCATCACTACTGTACAACAAACCATCACTACTGTACACCAAACCATCACTACTGTACACCAAATCTTCACCACTGTACACCAAACCATCACTACTGTACACCAAACCATCACCACTGTACACCAAATCTCCACCATTGTACACCAAACCATCACTACTGTACACCAAACCATCACTACTGTACACCAAATCTCCACCATTGTACACCAAACCATCACTGCTGTACACCAAATCTTCACCACTGTACACCAAACCATCACTACTGTATACCAAACCATCATTACTGTATACCAAACCATCACCACTGTACACCAAACCATCACTACTGTACACCAAACCATCACCACTGTACACCAAACCATCACTACTGTACACCAAACCATCACTACTGTACACCAAACCATCACTACTGTACAACAAACCATCACTACTGTACACCAAACCATCACCACTGTACACCAAATCTTCACCACTGTACACCAAACCATCACTACTGTATACCAAACCATCATTACTGTACACCAAATCTTCACCACTGTACACAAAACCATCACTACTGTACACCAAACCTTCACCACTGTACACCAAACCATCACCACTGTACATCAAATCTTCACCACTGTACACCAAACCATCACTACTGTACACCAAACCACCACCACTGTACACCAAACCATCACATTGTACAACTAATCATCACCACTGTACACCAAATCTTCACCACTGTACACCAAACCATCACTAAAACCATCACTACTGTACACCAAACAATCACTACTGTACACCAAATCTTCACCACTGTACACCAAATCTTCACCATTGTACAGCAAACCATCATCATTATACACAAAACCATCACTACTGTACACCAAACCATCATTACTGTACACCAAACCATCACTGCTGTACACCAAACCATCACTGCTGTACACCAAACCATCACTACTGTACACCAAACCATCACCACTGTACACCAAACCATCACTACGGTACACCAAACCATCATCATTGTACACCAAACCATCACTGCTGTACAACAAACCATCACTGCTGTACACCAAACCATCACTGCTGTACACCAAACCATCATTACTGTACACCAAACCATCACCACTGTACACCAAACCATCACTACGGTACACCAAACCATCACTACTGTACACCAAACCATCACTGCTGTACACCAAATCTTCACCACTGTACACCAAATCTTCACCATTGTACACCAAACCATCACTACTGTACACAAAACCATCACTACTGTACACCAAACCATCACTACTGTACACCAAACCATCACTGCTGTACACCAAACCATCACTGCTGTACACCAAACCATCACATTGTACAACTAATCATCACCACTGTACACCAAACCATCACTACTGTACACCAAACCATCACTGCTGTACACCAAACCATCACTGCTGTACACCAAATCTTCACCATTGTACAACTAATCATCACCACTGTACAACAAACCATTAGATGTTAATCAGACCTCACTGATTAGCATCATACTCATCAGGATAATTTGTAGTACTTAACAAGGAACACAAACATGAGGCTTGGGCAGTCTTGCTATGTGACTTACAGAGGCTTCTTTCCTACTATCAGCATCCTCTTTTAAAGTTAGACAACAGGTTCAGATAAAGTGCAAATATCAAAAGTCAACAGAATTCCCTTAGAAATTATTGTGCATTTGTGACAGTTGTGACAATTTGAATGTGTATATTATTAATAAGTCCACATATTCATAATCAGATCTGAATAAGAAACTGATGAACACCACACAGGAAGAGTATAAATATTAACCAGGCTGAACAGAGGCCAGGAAGAGTATAAATTTAACCAGACTGAACAGAGGCCAGGAAGAGTATAAATATTAACCAGGCTGAACAGAGGCCAGGAAGAGTATAAATTTAACCAGACTGAACAGAGGCCAGGAAGAGTATAAATATTAACCAGGCTGAACAGAGGCCAGGAAGGGCATCAATATTAACCAGGCTGAACAGAGGCCAGGAAGAGTATAAATTTAACCAGACTGAACATAGGCCAGGAAGGGCATCAATATTAACCAGACTGAACAGAGGCCAGGAAGAGGATGAACATTAACCAGACTAAACCAGAGGCCAGGAAGGGCATTAATATTAACCAGACTGAACAGAGGCCAGCAGAGGGATGAACATTAAACAGACTGAACAGAGGCCAGCAGAAAGATGAACATTACCAGACTGAACAGAAGCCAGCAGAAAGATGAACATTACCAGACCGATGAACAATACCAGACCAAACAGAGGCCAGCAGAAGGATGAACATTACCAGAGTGGACAAAGGCCAACAGAAGGATGAACATTACCAGAGTGGACAAAGGCAAGGAAGAGGGTGTACATGACCAGATTGGAATGTGAATGAATTCAGAAAGAACAGCCAAACGACTAAGTGGACAAAGAAGAAAAGACAGAGGAAAAAAATGAACAAAAACAGACTGAAGGGGAGGAAAATAAACAAACAACATATTGAGGAGAAGAAAGGTCAACAAGAACAGATAAAGTTTGTGAATAAGAACAGAAGGCACTAGATAAAGGAGAGGATTTTTGGAAATTGTATATCAAGAGGATTTCATCAATTGAAACATTAAGGAGCAAAATCACTAAAGAATTAAATTGATGTAATTAGATTTACCACTTACACTACGTATCAGTGAATAATATGGAACAACATAGAGTTAAGTTTGTTACTATCAGGG